CAATGTGAATTAGGAATGGAATGAATGAAAAGTGCACTTTATAAAATACTGTCTTAAAAAAAAAAAAAAAAAAAAAAAAAACAGGCTCCAAGAAAATAACTTCAATACTTCAATAAATGACCAAATCTCCTAATTATACACTGTTCCCTGAAAGACATAAGTATGCTTTCCTTTGTGTAGTAGAGCACAACTGGAATGACAGACACATATATCAGATTCCAGCCAATTGATAAATTATTTGTATGTCAACATACATTCTCTAAATGAAAATAATTTAAAATTTGTTCTATTTTGGTAAGTCACCCTCTTCGAAAACTACATTTCTTTTTCCCAACTTTCACTGTCAGCAATCCACAGAATTTCACAAATTTAAAGGCTGAAAATCCACTGATTCTTACAGAGGCTTTGTGTACAAAACAACAGGTAAGAGGGTGTTACCTGGATAGCTTGAGGTATAAAAAGTTTCCCTAAAGAAGACACAAAATCCAGCACTGCCAAACAGGTGTGGTCAGGAGGCTCTGCCTTAAGTAGTGAGGTCTGCAAAGTAACCACCTAAAGAAGTGAAAACCAAAACATAGTATTTGGTAAAGACACAATAACAATAAGATTTAGACGGGTATATGGAAAGGGAAGACAAAACAGACATCAGACCCTCCACAAAGCCTAATCTTCCAAGGTGGAATTTGAATAAAACTATTAAGTCAATTATTACAGCAGTCTTCCTACCACATCTTCTTGCCTCCAAGCACTATTTAAAAAAAAAAAAAAAATGCATGTTTTCCTGAAAAACTTCATATACCATATCCTTCAAAATAATTCTGTCATTTAAATGTCATAAGTTCATTATTTAAAGCAGGGATTTGGAATTTTTTTTCTGTAAAAGGCCAAATAGTAAAATATTGTAGGCTTTGCAGGCAACATGTTCTCTTTTGCATATTATTATTTTTTTTTAACAGCCCTTTAAAAATATAAAAACATCCATAGCTCTGATGCTGAAAATAGGAGGGAGGACCAACTTTAACCGAAAGGCTGTAATTCATCAGTTTCTCAGTTAAAGGAACACTAAGGTGAAGTCTTCAATAAAGGAAGCAATACTTTATGAGATGAGCATCTTCCCTCTGAAAAATTTCCTTAGGTCAAAATTTAAGAGTTTTTATTTGGGTAGGTACATGATGTCAAAATGATAAGTATTAAGTTTTTCAAAAAACAGTATTAGGGCTTTTAGAACCAGCACATCAAATTATTGAATTCAGTCAATCATTGTATTTTCATTCTTTAAAAATTAGTAATCTATGCTATGCATTAGTAACAAGACTATATCTAATAAGTATTTAGTAATGCTGACTTCTTCATGAACAGAACCATTAACTAGAGCTACTAAAAACAAAGCTGTTACTAGTTTCACTTTTCTCAATCCTACTACATACAGTGATTAAGAGTTCATCTCTTCCATCATTTCCTAAATAAGAAGGGCTAGCTCTGGTGGTGCAGTGCCTAAAGCATTTGAAGTGGGTGGTTCAAACTCATCCACCGCTCTACAGAAGGGAGTTTTTTTTCCCCCTACCTGATGATTTTGGGATCAGCTCTGGTGGCGTAGTGCCTAAGGCATTTGACTGCTAACCAGAAGGCTGGCGGTTCAAACCCACCAGCCACTCCTCAGAGGGAAGACTGGGTAAGGCTGGCGGTTCAAACCCACCAGCCACTCCTCAGAGGGAAGACTGGGTAATCTACTTCTGTAGAGATATTGCCTTGGAAACCCAAGGAGGGGGTTGCTATAAGTCAGGATCAACTCAACAGCAGGGGTTTTTTTTTTTTCCCCCAATCTGGTATGGACTCATTCCAAAGCGTCTCAATCACTTCTGATAAGATGAAAGCCTTTCCCATTTTCTCTCTCCACTGACTTAAAGCCTCCAAAGGAGGTATATAACCAAGGCACCACCATGAGGACCCTCAGATAAAGAGCCAAGCTCTGTCTCAGTCATGTAAGTCATGAGCCAGAAATTTAGCAGTGCTCCTATTTCAAATTGATTTTTTCTTCAAGGAAACATTAAGGGTTATCAGTAAGTTCATGTCTGTCATATTCCACACACCCATAGTTGAAGTGCCTTTGAAAATGCTTGAATGCAAGTTTCAACAGATAAGCTATGACTCCTAACCACAGGGGTTTTTTGAGCAATCAACAGCAACAAAGTTGTAACTGCTCAGTTAAGAGTGTAGGGAAGAATATGTAAAGGCTGAATTAGCAGCCCAGAATATTAACAATATTCTACTAGAAGAAGAAAAGAGATGAGTAGAGACATCCTTGAGGAAGACAAGGAAATGTGTAAAACTTAATGCTCAGTTTAACAAAAGGGTAAAGCTTATGTTCAGTTGAGGGTAGTAAGCAATGAGCAATAAATCATTAAAAAGGGCTGTTTTCCAGAAAGTTATTTTAAGTCATGCTAGTTCAAGAACTTCCTTAGCAAACAAACTATCAACTTGCTCTCTATACTTACCTGACTTATCAGCTGAGGATCTAGAGTTTGAATGAAATATCCCAACAGTGGGAGTAAAAGGCTGAGTGTTTGTTGAACAAAAGGCTGACCTATTACCTTAAAAAAAAAATAATAATAATTTTGGTAAAAATTTTTAATTATATGAGAATATATATAATAATAGCTTTTACTGAGCATTTATTATGCACCAGGAAATATGGTAAGCATTTTATATTTATGACCTCATGTATGCCTCACAACAGCTACACGAAGTAGATACTATAACCCACACTATAGCCAAAAAAAAAAAAAAAAGACCCTTTGCCACTGAGTCCATTCCAAATCATAGCAACCCTAGTGAGAAAAGAGGGTCAGAAAGATTACATAATTCGCTCAAGAACACATGACTAGGAAAAAGTAGTCATGATTCAAATCCAGATTTAACTCAAAAGGGGATTAAATTACTTTTCTTTGCCACTGGAAAACTTGTTTTCCCTTAGTCTTTTTAAATTTCTCTTCCCCATAATTATTATTTATATCATATATCAGCAGAGATACTCAAGGAATATTGGTTGAATGATTTGTGTCAGTGGAAAGCACCTGTTGAAGTAAAAATTTTACAGTAGGGAATCTAATCTGATATAAACATTAATGATAAACATCTGTAAAATCTATTATTCCCCAACACTATGGACTTTGTCTTCAGCTTCCAATGCCTGGGACAACCAGAGGCTACACATTTACTTCTACTTAGTCAAAAGAAACAAATGTCGTATTTAGGTTTTTAAATTAAGAAACTTAGTGAAATTATATTTACAATCGTGGCAGATAGAACATTCTAATTCACTTGGCTTCTTGGCTTTGCTAAGAAAGAGGGATGTAAATTAACCATATCCATTCACTTGCCCCTTCCAACTCAGCCATGAAAATAGTCACAGAAAAATTGTCACTGTCACTTTACTGAGTTCTAGTTTTCTAATAGAATTCTATTACACTGAAAAAAGAGATCTGCCTCAAAAAGTACAAATAGGTAATTTTAAGTTCTAATGACAAACTCTGCTAAATACTAGAGAAAGGAGATAAATTTTACGTTACAGGAAAATTTTAATACCATTGTATTTTCAATATTCTTTTATTTAGTCTTCAAGCAAGTAATAAGTTGCTTTCCTTACCTGTTTAATGTTTAAAAAAGTCCAAAGCTGGCTCCCAATTTCAATAATTGCAGTTTGTTGTCTAATATCCACAGCTTCACCAGCAGAATTACACACAGTAAGCAAAGCAGAGAGTGCTATGTTCTGAAGGGGAGAGAAGGAAAGGCCCTGAGTTTAGATACCAGTCTTTAGAGAATTCCAGGAGCCCAATTACCCAGAGCTGGGAAGTTACTTAGAACGCTTAAAAAAAAATCCATACTGAAATATTCCAAAGAATCTAAGCCATTTTTTTCCCCAGTTATTTCTTTAATAAAAGTGTATTTTATTAAAACTAATTTTCTTTATGCATAAAAACATTTGTTATATTTTTCTAAATCTTTTTTTTCCATTTTAGGATAAAAATTTAGTAACTTGAAATGAAAAATACATTGTATTTCATAAACAAGTCTGATAAAATTGGCAGTACGGTCAAGCTCATTTATTAAATTCATTAACTAAAACGTCTGTTTTTTTTCACATTATGGATCTAGCAATCTATTTAGTTTAGTACCTTTTTTTAAATTACTGTTTTATGCTACCTTTAAAGTTCCTCAACAATGCTGAATTCAATAAGCAATACTTAAATATTTATTTTACTGTACAATGCTAAATAAGAGCGCAAGTCCATAAGACTAGAATTTTGTGTTTCATTTCCTGATACATCCCCAATGCCTAGAACAGAGCTGGGCACATAGGAGCATTCAAAAAATATTTGCTACATGAATGAATGAACAAACACTGAACTGGAAAATTCAACCACATATACTACGCTCATTCAATTGTGAAAACTCACATTTCCTACTCCTTATAGGAGATGAATCACCTTTTTATTCCATTATTTTATGAGAGGGCATTCTAAGTAGAAAGGTACATAAAGGCGAAGAGTATGTTTGCATAAAATGGGGTTTGTAGTTTGTCAAATAGAAGAATCACGTCTGTGTAATCCAGAGATGCATCAGCAAAATATTACAAATAAAGTATTTCATAACACGTTTAACTTTACTCCAATGTGTCTTAAGTGTCAAAGGGACCCACAACACACACATACATTGTGGTAGTTAAGTTTGTGTGTCAACTTGGCTGGTCCTGGTTGAGAGGCCGGACAGCTGGATATAGTATTCCCCATGATGAGACTGGTAATTAATTAGCTCTATGGTGAAATCGACTATGAGCAGCTGAGTAGCTGCTTTAGGGACATGGTCTGCTTCTCGTATATAGGGAGAAGTCTTGGGGAATGGTCTCTATCTTATGGCACGCTTGAACCCTTCATGTAGACATGTCATTGTTCAGCAACCTGCCATGCTCTGCCAACCTTGGGACTTTCAATGAACTTGAATTAATGGCCTGCCACGTAGTTTGGTAACATCAGGACTGTACCATTTTATCTGTCAACCTTGGGCTTGTTAGCCTCAGCAACCAATAGCTGCCTGAGTGAAGAGAGGCCTCTAGCTTCAGTGGGCCAGGAGCAAGAGGCAGAGCTAAAGCCCAAGGTCAAGGGGCTTTCACCCAGCCCGTAGGGCCTGGCACTTTGAACTCGGACTTCTAGCTTCCCAAACTGTAAGAGAATAAACTCCCGTTTGTTCAAGCCATCCCATTTGTGGTATATATTCTTGTCAGAGTGGCACTAGGTAATCAGAACACACATATAATACAAGTTACCTCAATCCAGATAACAGTAAGCTTCTCATAAACCCTTTTTACAATTTAGAAATCTGAAAATCCTACTTGAGTCTAATTTGAGGGCAAGTACTATGTCCATCTTGTTTACAACCTTTCCCTAATACTTAAAATAGTGCTCAATAAATAGCCATCGAATGAATCAAATCAACAGAAATTACCTTACCAGAGACTCAAGTTCTCCCAAAGTGCGACTGCTGCTCAGCCACTCCCTGCACTGGGTGGTGCCTGCTCTGATGACCTCGTTTGCAGTTTGTTTCCTCAGGTCAGCAGATAAAGCCTGGAAGGAAATATACTGCCACAGAGACAAGTTTTCCACTTCTTTTGGGGAAAATTTCTGAATAAACTCCACCTGAAATAAATTTTTAACAAACCCAAGAGTAGCATAAGGCAGTCTGATGAACTGATGCACAAAACCTAAAAGTTAGCTTCCATATTTAATATTTTAGAAAACCTTAACTGCATGGTAATATCACATGATACCAGACCAAACAAATGAACAAAAAAACCCCCAAACTCACTGGATACATGTACTGTATATCTTGTGATACATGGCAGCTTAAAAATGAACAAAATTATTAATTTTTTGTTGCTGCCTCTATGTTTCCAAAATGATAAACACAGTTTAAGTGGAACACAGTAGAAATACATTAAGAAATACTAAATAATGTATTTCATTATTAACTAGGTCAGATATTTCATCATGCCCCTACCATTGTGTTGTTGTTATGTGCCGTCGAGTCAGACCCGACTCATAGCAACCCCACCTTGGGTTTCCGAGAGAGTACCCCTACGGAAGTAGATTGCCCCATCTTCCTTCCGAGGAGTGGCTGGTGGGTTTGAACTGCCAGCCTTCTGGTTAGCAGTCAAGTGCCTTAGGCACTATGCTACCAGAGCTCCCCCCCTACCATTACTGGGGGTCTATTATTTCTTAAGTGAGTACTCATCAACTTGCACAGTTAAGTCAGAAACACTATTCCAAACAAGCCAACAAGACTGATTTAGCTAACCTTTGTGGCTTACTATGATCTCCACTGACAATGGTAGAACACTTATGGTGAACACCTATGGTACACCATAGGTTCAGTTTTCAAATGGGCTAGCTAACTCCACTCTACTTTAACCTACTTCATACTTACAGACAACATGCTAAATTAGTTTCATAAGGTAAGTGCATCCACTCCTCAGAAAGGTTGGTTGGTAAATCCACTCTACGACTGAAATACCAATTCAAAGTTTTGCTGGGTTAATAGAGAAGTGGTACTGTTTTGTTAAAATGCAGGTATCATCTGGAGCTACTAAGGCTGGACAAACCCCCAATCTACTGCCCTGTGATAATCCTTAAACCAAAACTATCACCTGAAGTCTTTTTTAAACCAAAACATAATTTAGTTTAATTAGTAAGGAATGTCTTCCTTAAGCACTGTGCTTTTGTAAAGAATTATCTACATGTGATCAAATTGACAACAGTAACTCAAAAGGTTAGATGAAAAACTTAGAGAGCAGTGAGTTTATGTTAATGATGAAGGAATAATTTGGAAAAGGATATAGTGAAAAAGACTGCACAACTTGAAAGATGGAATCAATGTCCCTGTACATGGAGAAATCGCTGAATTTGTTTATGTTTTGATTTGTCTATTTGCACCAAAATAAATAGATTATTTTAAATAAAATAAAACAGATATTAACAGACTAGATTAAAAATAGGAAAAAGTTAAAATATTAAATTAGTTCTTGGTAGAAGAGGAACAAAATCAATGATGTACACTTAATTACTAAATTAATTATAATCTAACTAGGAAGTATATTAGTGTTTTTTAAACAGTATAATTCAAATTACAATATATAAAATCTACTTGACAAACTAACACTTTCTCTACCTCAAAGGCTAAATAAATCAAAACTGATTTAAGCCTAGAACAATACTATAAAGTTCAACAGAGAAATTTTCTATGTCATATACTACATTCATATTCAAATAATATTTCTTTTGCAGAAAATATTTAGCTTTCAAAACAAGGTAGAGATCATGTGACTAACTGCTCTAACAGACTCTACAGCCAGAAAAATGGTTCCCTTGGTGAATTCCATGTAGTCTAACAAACAGCTTTAGTCATGAAACCAAACTGCATCAGGAAAGCCAAGAGTACTGTGCCAACTAAGAAATGACATCACCTTTCTTTATAAAAAATTCCAATGAATGAATGAACCAGTTCCCTTACCCAAATAGGGACTAATAATGGTCCTTAAAATAATGATGCCCTGGACAACGTAAAAGGAGTACTGGTGGTATAGTGGTTAAAGCATATGTCTATTAAGCAAAAGGTCAGTGGTTCAAACCCAGTAGCCACTCCATGAGAGAAAGATGAGGCAGCCTGCTTTTGTAAAGATTTACAGCCTTCAAAACACTATGGGGCAGTTCTACTCCGTCCTGTAGGGTCACTATGAGTTGGAATTAATTCAATGACAGTGAGTTTGGTTTTTGGTTTGGACAACATGAAAGGGTAGGTACTGCCAAACTTTTTATATACAAAGAGTTAAAGATTCTATTCTGAGGTCAAAAACCCTGGATTTAATACAATTCTAAAGATTTAAAACGGTTAGAGCTGACAGCAATAGCTCACAAGAAAATTATGACTTTCTTCCTTAAAAGCCGAGAAGAGATTAAAAATATATATATACCTGGGGGCTTAAAATGCAAATAAGTATATTAACTTCTATTTTACATAAAAATGGCAGCAACACCATCAGTGTGCTTTAATAATGTATATTAAATCCATACCCTCAATTAGGTAATCTCCCTGTACTTTTGCTTTCCTCTATAAAACAAGAATACTATTGACAGTTATCCACTAAAGGAAATAATGTGATATTCAATCATTACTATAGTGAAAAATGTGATTTTAATCTCTCTATATACTGGAATTTCTCAAAAAAAATGAATACTTTTTTTTTTGTAAAATATCATACCACGATCAATGATTCTCATTTATGTTAATGTTGCATCACTGATATAAATTGTTTTATTTAATTTTTAAAGAGAAATCATCTTATATACAAATTGATTTAATAATTATTTCCAGCTGCATCACTTGCTTCTCATCTTTGCTCCTGTTACCACCGTTGTCCTCCTGGTTTTACCCATCCTTTCACGTGGTATCTCAGATGCCACCATCTCTAAGTGCTCCTTCTAATTCCTACCTGTTCCCATCCATCTCCTGAGAAATGATCATCTAAGCTATGAATACCCAAGAAAACTTGATTTGTACCTCATTTTTGGCACTCATTACACATGATCTTTTATTATGAGTATTTTTATAAGTGTATAATTTCTTCTAGATTATGTTCTTGACATGTCATGAGAGTGAAAAATTTTATTTTAAGCAACTAAACACAACTGAAAATTAAGAAAAAGCCCTATCTATCCAACAGATAACAGATTTCTTCTAATTTAAGGAGTTAAGAGGGTAGAGTCAATATTCCATAAACAGAAGAGACCCCTGCAATAGCTGCACAGAGAACAGCTGGGAAGAATATTGGAGCAGTGGAAAGAGCACAGACTCTGGAGTAAGAGCGATCTGGGTTTGAATCTCAGCTCAGCCATTTATTATACGTGAATTTTGGGAAGGTCTTTAACTACTGTTTCTTCATCTGTGAAAAGGACATAATTATATCTATCTCACAAGGTTGTTTTAAGGACAAAATTAATTCAAGTGCCTAGTACAAAGCCTGGCCCACATTATAGTGTCAAAAGTGTTAGTCGCCTTCCTCCTTCAAGTTGAGGGTCCCTGCCTTGAAAAAAAAAGAACGAGGTGGGGCAGAAGAAATAACTACCATTTGTTTGTTAAGTGGCCGCTTCATGCATATATCTATATATATTGTTAACTCTCTCAATTGCCATATGAGGTGAACATTACTATTTCAGTTGTATGCTTAACTGACTCTCCTAAGGGCTCTCAGCTAGAACAGGGATTCAAATTTAGGTTTGTCTTTTAATCCTAAAAATATAGTAATTTCTTTACAGAAGAAAATCAATAGTGCCTAAGGCATTTGATTGTTAACCAGAGGGCTGGCAGTTTAAACCCACCAGCCACTCCATGGAAGGAAGACCAGGCAATCTACTTCCGTAAAGATTTACCACCTCAGAAACCCAAAAGGAGTCGCTATGAGTTGGAATTGACTCGATGCCACTGGGTTTGGTGTTTTTTTTTTTTTTAAGGAATAAATTAAAAGTAACTCCTCATTTATCCATAAATTATATATCTGATAGCCTCAACCATTTGGCATATTTTAGAAAACTGAGATATCAAAGTAGATACACATATCTCCCACTTTGTAGACAGAGAAACTGAGGTTCAGAAAGGATGACCTGCCTAAGGCAGGTTCAAACTAAGTACCATAGGACCCTAAAGTCTAACTCCTTCACTAATGTAGTGGTTCCCACATTTGGCTCTACATTAGAATCACGTAGGAACTTAACAACAACAACAAAATCACTGAGCCCCATTTCATATCTGCCCCTCCATGCCCACTCTGCTCACAGATTAGGGTCTAAGAACCTATATTTTTCAAAAGTCCCTACAGGACTTCTGATGTGGCCAGTCCATGGGACTACACCACACTACACTGGTTCATGTAACTGGACAATTCTTTTATCCTGGCATAACTTGTTTTCCTCACAAGAGCAAGTGAAGGTTTATACTTTCAATTTTCTCCCAAAAGTTCAATTTATTTACTATCAAAAAAAAAGATACATCATTAAGAGAATAAATAATACTCAAGCTCTTCAAAATAATTTAAAAGGGGCAAAGGATACAGAACCATTTCATTTCAAGTACCTTAAATACACAAAAATCAAGATTAAAGATTATTTCAGGAGAACAGAATTAAAATGATTATCTATAATTTAGAGAAAGGATATAAAAATTTAAACCCAGCTAAAATAATGTCCACAGTCCACGTCAACATTTAAATTTAGAAAAAGCAGGGGGAAAAAAAAGCCTCAAAAGGAGTCTGAACCCAATTCTTAGCAGTTGCACCAAGACAGTGACAATGGTTATATTCTTGCCTGATGGGGTGGGGCCATGAAGAAGAAGAGACGTCTCAACAGAATTGACAAGTTGGTGAGCTGATAACATTCTCCAGGGCAAGATTTTATCTGGAAAAAGACAGAGAAGCAAGGAACATGAGTGATTTAAAATTATAGCCTTTACAAGAAAGATATATGCCAAATATGTCAAAATATTCACAATGACTCTTTCTGAGATGAGATCGTAGGTCATTTTAATTTGGGCTTTTCTTCGCATTTTTTTTTTTTTCCCTTTTCTTCAGTGAACCTAGACTACTTTCATAATGAGAAAAAAAAAGGACATTATATTTTAAAATAACACTTTTGCAAATTCTAATTACCATCTGATGAGATGTTAATCCTCTAATTCTAAGACAATTAATGGGACCTTTTTTTTTAATTGTTATTTGAGTGAAAGTTTACAGAGCAAATTAGTTTTCCATTCAACAGTCCATATACACTCTATTTTGTCACATTTACTGTAATCTCCACAATGTAATAACATTCTTCCCACTTCCTCCCTGTACCCACTCCTTCCCTTCATCCTTCCATCCTAACCTTCCCTCCTTCCTAGCTTTATCCCTGGGCAAATTGCATCCACATTCATCAAGATTATATCTTCAAAGGAACTGCATGGAAAGAGTAGGTTTCACGCCTTGTAATTCTACTCACCAAATGAGCCACTATGGTGACATGGTGTGCACAGAGTTCAGCAGTACCATACCTGAGATACAAAGAAAAGGTAATCAAAATTTATACCACTATTCAGAAAAACAAGGAGATGTGTTTTCATTGAGCACTAAATATTCTAATGGGGCATATACACTGCAGTTCTTTCCATGGCCAAGGAGTGTCATAATACACAAAACTAGACAATACTCATCTATTGGCCTGAATCAAAGAAAGAAAAGAAGGCAATCATTTCTTAATTTAGTGTAGTATCATGAAATCTAACCATTTGGGGAAACTATTCAAGGACTGTAACAACAGAATTTTTCTGTAAACTTACAAATAAAAAATCATTTACTGTCAATCAGTACTATAAATCAATCCAAAAATTTAAAATGTAGGTAATGGTATACCGAGCAAGGAAGCACCATGCATCCATAACTAACAAAGAGGTGATCATTTTAGTACTCAGCACAGCATTCAACAGTGCAGCATCCTACAGAAAAACAGAAAAGTTATACTGACTTATTTATATGCTAAAGTTCATAATAAATTATCATTAATATGACATTGCTCAAAATGAAACAAGAAAGCCCAATCAGAATCCAAATAACAGATCTCCAAAGGAGAACCTCTAATTCTTAATACCAGGCTATGCTGCCATGGCTATGCTGCCATTCCCTCAACACTTATTAGGCAGCTGGTAGTGCTGGCACATAGGAATTAAAAAGTGGTTTTAAATGTGGTCAGTTCACCACTGGTGTCCAGAAAGATACCCTAAGTAGCCAGAAATTGTTAAAACAATGTATGTAACAAGTATGCCTATATTTTCATTTCTGCCTTTAACTATTCAAATATTTACAATATTAATATTCATTGGATTTTATTACCCACTAGTATACCTTAAATGATACTGTTATTTACCTAAATTATAAGAATTTCCCCACAATTTTCTCAAGCTATTTTCTAATCCAAAATCATAAACAAACAAAACACCTACATTATGCCTAAGACCCATAGACAATCTGATACTACATACTATTATTTCTCATTTTCTTTGTGAAACTGAATTAGGTAAAATCCTACACATTTTTCCTCTTCTCACAGTCTCCATACCTCTTTACCCAAAATTATTTCCCCAAATATTTTAGTCAAATACTAGTATCTGAATACTACAGGAATTTAGGATTACCATTTCCTAGGGTATAACTGAATTAAAAGGTAAAAATGTGTGAGCAGAGAGTATGACATTCAAGAAGAATATGTATTAACTTTCCCCACACTTCGTTTCTGAACCATAATATCAATGAAAAGAAAGCAAAAGTGTAACCTCAGCATAATCCAGCAAGTAACAAGCTTACCACTTCAGGAAAGAGTGATGGATGAGAGGAAGCAATAAATGTACACAGATGAACACAAACATGCTGATACAACGTGACGGCAGTCTGGGCTTGCCCTTGACTCTTTACTTCTTGTAAATGAACAGGTAGAGAGAGTTCACCAGAACACTGCTCAAAACTGTAGAAAACAGCTTTGAGTAGAGATATTCTGCAGGGAAATTAAGAACATTGAACCTGACATTAACATTTAATTACTTGAAGGTATGATAATTATAATCTGATATTTGGAGGTTATTTTAGCAAAGCTTACATCCTAAGAAGTATGTATCAACAATAATTTCCAGTATGTATGAACATCCCTACATAAAAATAAAACATGTTCACTGACAGAAAAATTCCTTAAAAAGATTTTCCCTCAACATTTTTTTTTATCATTTACCAAATATGTATATACCAAGAGCAAAGTACTGAGCTATATACAGTCAAAGACAAAGTTCCTTAAGGAACTTAAAATCTAAGTGGTTAAATTAGAATCTACACATACAATAAAAAAGTATTATAGTTTAGACAGTGTGGTAGTTAAGGTTCCATGTCAACTTGGCTGGGCCTGGTTGAGTGGCTGGGCAGCTGGATGTAGTTATTTCTCATGATGAGACTGGTAATCAACTCCATGGTGGAATCTACTGTGAGCAGCTGACTATCTGCTTCAGGGATATAGTCTGCTTCCTGTATATAAGCACCAGCTTTGAGAAAGGTCTCTGAGCTTTTTGGTACATCTGGATCCCGCATTTGGCCAAATCTTCATCTCAGTGGCCTGCCATGTTGCCTGCTGACCTTGAGACCAATTTTGGACTTGAACTAGCAGCCTGCCGTGTTGGTTGATAATTTTGGGACTATGCCATTTTACCTGTCGACCTTGGGTTTGTCAGCCTCAGTAGCCAGTAGCTGTCTGAGTTAAGAGAAGCCTCCAGCTCCAGTGGGCCAGGAGCAAGAGGCAGAGCTGAAGCCTAAGGTTGAGGGACCTTCACCCAGCCCCTAGAGCTGGCACTTTGAACTCAGACTTCTAGTCTCCTAGATTGTAAGAGAATAAATCCCTGTTTGTTGAAGCCACCCATTTGTGGTATTTTTCTGTTAGAGCAGCACACGAGAACCTAAACAGGGAGGGGACATTTTAGGATGGAAATGGTTGAAGAAATCTGCATAAAAGATTTAAATTATAAATTAAAAAACAGGCAAGATATGAACAGGTAAAGAAGACAAAGAATGACTAAAGACAGACATGAACACCCAGTCTGCTGAAAACAAGGTATGTGTACAGTAAATGAGTGAAGGAATGAGGAGCAATTGAAGATGGCGACAGAGTGAAATAGGCTTTCAGCAACAAATTTCACGGAACAATTTGTGTATGAACTATTGATTGGGTATGAGCTCTGGTAGCGTAGTGCCTAAGGCACTTGACTGCTAACCAGAAGGCTGGTGGTTCAAACCCACCAGCCACTCCTTGGAAGGAAGGTTGGGCAATCTACTTCCGTAATGATACTGCCTCAGAAAACTAAGGAGGGGTCATTATGAGTCGGGGCCGATTCGACGGCACATAACAACAACAACATGTAAACTTTCACCTAAAGCACAACACAATGCTAAAAGAAAGAAATAAACGGGCTTTCAGTGCAAAGCTGATGAAATCTGATATCAAGCTTAAATTACTGAGCAGAAGAACAGGCAGATCAGATCCAGGCTTCAGGGAGATGAATATGGTGGTGGTTTAGAATGTCTAAAGAAAGGGATGATAAATTGAGCATAGGAATAATCCAGGCAGTAAGAAACTAGAGCCTGGACTGTGATGTTGGCAAGGCAAATGAATACAAGCGAAACTTCCTAGAAAATACTTTAGCATTCTACTGATCAGAATTCATTTTTAAATATTACTTATGATATCTACTCTTATTATATTACAGTCAACATCTATAATGCTAACCATTAGGCAAAGCCTTGTAAAACACTGAACAAAAGTAAAATATTTTTAGCATTACTATATACTTAAGCATTTTTTATTAATCTAACCTCATATATGTCATGAAAAAACAAACCAAATTCATGCCCATTGATTTGATTCTGACTCATAGAGATCCCCACTGGGTTTCTAAGGCTATAAAAAACTTTACAAAAGTAGATTGCCCCATCTTTCTTCCATGGAGCAGCTTGTGGGTTCTTGAACCACTGACCTTTTGGTTAGCAGGGAAATGCCTTAACCACCACACCACCAGAGCTCCCTCATATATGTAATTTACAATTTATACACACACACACACACACACACACAAACACATATGAAGATTACATAGTGACTATGAACTACAATATCTGATATAACAACAAACTTCATTTCAAGACCATTCTGAACAACAGGAGATCCATTATAAAAAGCCACCTGTAATATAATTAGATATAAACAACATGGTTGCTACCTGGTTGTAGCTTCTGAGCCCTGGCTTTCTGCACACCACAGCATCTGCACATCCTTAGGCTGAGAGGGCAGCTTATCCATGATGACCACCAGAAGTAGACACTGTGGGAACTGTAGTTCACATGGCAGATCTTAGAGATATTAAAAAAACATCAAGTTACAACAAACTGGTAAAAAAAAATTCCCTAAATCTTTTCAGCAGAAATTTGATTGTGACATGTGAAGAAATTAGAGATATCATTTAAAAAAATAAAACAAAATGACTTGAAATGCAAGTGGAAAGAATTAAAAATTTCTTTAATTTGAAAAAAGGGTAACTGCATAAGGAAAGTAACTTGGTCTCCAATATGTCATAGTTAATAGGTAATGATCTAACATTAATTCTGTTTTGAAGCTTACCTAATTTATTGTCCAAAACCACCTCCATAAAAGGTTGGAATGTGAGAAGCTGACTGATGAGTGGATCCAGTGTCACCAGGAAAGCGCCTGCTATCTCCTCCTGCTGTGCTTTAGAAATCATGGTAGCATACAGACTTGGAGGAAATTGGCTGAAAAGTGAGGGGGTAAAAAAAAATCTCACACATTAACAGTTATCTTCTAGTTTTAAGTAGAGGTGCTGCAAAATGATGTTCTTCTAGCAGTGAAAACATATAAAAAAAATAAGTAGCATACATTTTATAAAAAAAACTTCAAAGTACTGAATTGATACCAGAATTGTTATGCGGGCTTCTGAACTACGTAACATCGCTACAATCCTACAAAATTAAGTGTATGATTTTACAGAAATCTTTGGCATTTTTTTGTTGCATTTAAATACTACATTTTGACAATGTTGTCCTTAAGAAAAATACTGTAACAACATGAATCTTAAATCAACTAATAAAACATTATTTAAATAAATACATTTATGAAAAATTCTGGCTTAATTACTTGTATTAATATTTGTTTTATAATAGAATGCTGAATTTACTATGAGTTAATGCTGTATCTCAGAAGCAAAAGCTTTGTAAGAGGGAAACTGTATAACACTGAAGCAGGCTCCAAAGATTTTTCATGAAAAGTACTCAGTAACTGAGGTTTAAACAAAACTTCAATCAAAACCTATGTGAAATAAAGTATGTATTCAATATTTTTTGTCATGCTATATTAATTGTGGTAAACCTGACAGCACATGAAAAAAACCTGTGTATAGGGGACAACAGCACTTAAAAGGATACACGTAAGATAAATACTTGAGAAGTTCTTCCCATGATGGAGAAAGCACTAGCTGCATGACTTTGGGTTATTCATTTAACCTCCCTGAGCCTCAGGTTCTTTATCTGTGACACTGATTGAGAGTTGTTATGAGGATTAAATCATAAGTAAGGTGAAAGCTGTATGTAAATAAAAGATAATAAAGACTCCATAAACTTGAAATATAGCTACAGAATAGCAAATAAACTATTTGAATTTTTCAATCAAATGATGTATTTTTTTTCTTATTATTTTTTTGTGGGGGACACACTCCCCCCCCCGCCATACAGACATACCTAATAGTTCAGCCTGTCCACCAATCTATCCATCCGTATATCCATGTTTGCCATCACTGACAATGCAGTACTGTATGTGCAAAAGGGTTCATCTTTGTTGTCTGTACCTCCCATGTACCTCTCTATGACTTCTTCTTCCTCAAATGATGTATTTTTAAATTGATTTATTTGATAAATGTTTAATAAGTGCCTATTACATGCCAAAACTGTTCCAGAGGTACTTGATATAGCAGTAAATAGAATACACAAAGTCATTGCCTTTTCTGAGTTTACCTTCTGGTGAGGGAGAGAGTTTAACAAGCAAGTAAGTAAATACATAATATTTAATAACTATTAATTATAAGAGCTATGAAGAAAAAAATAAAACAAGGAAAGACAGAAAGGTAGTTCTAGAGGACTGCTGTTTTATACACATAAAAGCCAGTGGGACATTTAGGCACAGAAATGATGTAAGTTATGTCTTTAGCATTCATTTTTAACCACTGTATGGAGAGCAGACCAGAGTGAAGCAAGGGTAGAAGCAGAAATAGCAGTTTAGAATACTCTTGCAAAAATTTAGGCAAGAAAATAATAGTGGATGGGACTAAACAGAAGCAGTTAAGATGGTAAGTAGCTGAATTCTGTACATAAACACATGTATGTGTGTGTATACTCACACACACACACACACACACTCTGAAGATAATTCTGACAGAATTTAAGGGATTAAAGTAGGGTATCAGTGCAAGAGAAAAATGTCAAAGATAATTGCAAAGTTTTTTGGTCTAATCAGTTTGAAAAATAAGGTTGCCATTTTAACTGGGATGAGGAAGATTATAAGAGGAGTACATTCGGTGGGGAGTGGGGATGGGATGGGGGGGAATCAAGAGTTGGGATAATTTCAATGAAAATGTACTGATTGGCAGTTAGACATTCAAATCTGGCATTCAGGGGAGAGATATAAATGTAAGCTCTTCAGACAGAAGAGATTTAAGAAATGAGCCCTGGAGCACAACTAACTTACAGAAGCTGGGGAGGAACCTGCTAAGAATGTATAGAAAACAGCCAGTGAGATTAGAAGAAACCAAGAGACAAAATACCTAGAAGCCAATACAAGAACAGTGTTTGAAAGGAAGGGACAAATGCTGCTGCCTCGTTGCATAACATGAGGCCTAACAATTGATCACATGAACCAGCTATGTGGGGGTCAATGATGACCTTGGCAAGAGCTGTTTTGGAGAAGTGGTGGAGTGGAAAGCCTGACTGGAGCAGCTTCGAGAAAGAAAAGTAGTGACAGTTCCATATGTGCTGTAAAAAGAGGCAGAGAAATGGAAGCCAGCAGCTGGTAGAGGATGTAGAGTTGAGAGATGTTGTTCATTTGTTTTGCATTGTTCATAAGAAGGGAAAAATAACAGCATGTCCATATATTCATGAGAACAATCCAGTAAGGAGCGAAAACTTGACGCAGGAAAGAAAATGAATAATTGCTTGAGTGAGGTCCCAGAGCATGAGAGAGAGGATGAGAGCCAATATACAAACAAGGAGGCTGGCTTTATACAGATGTAGACTGTTCCCTCAGGGCAATGAAGGAATATGGGTTGAGAAACAGACAGTATAGTCAATGTGTTGGTGGGACTATATGGAAACTCTCTTGCAAATGTTTCCATTTTTCTTAGTGACATAGAAAATGAGGTCACTAATTGAGAATGAGAAGTAATAAGGAGGTATTAGAGATACAGGAAGTTTGAAAAGGAAGAGGGGTGAAAAGTTGACTGGGAGACCAAATTGATTAGGAACGTATAGAAGGACTACTGGATAAATAAGCAAACAAATTATTTTAGTGTCAAATTTAGGACTCTTTTCAGGTAAGTCTCAATTTCAGATGTCCCTTATCCTCTATCTAAATTATCATACTTTTCTATAATTCAATTTTTTTCCTAAGATGGAATTACTACTTGACTTACATTTCATAGAAAAATAAAGATAAAACAATATGCCAATATAATATACATATATGCAAATACATATGTATGTAAATGTACAAATATGTGTGTGTATGTACAAAGACTTCTTTTTGCTTTAGATTTTTATCACCATACTGCTTATTTATCACTTGTGTACAAGGGACTAGTTAAGATTATAAAGAATAAGTAAAACTCAATAGAATCTCCTCTGCAAAAGTTTCTATCTTCAATTATTTTAAGGAAGCAGATAAGAATTAAAACATTAAGAAAAATTACTCTGATGTTTTATTTTAAAATGATACACACTTAAGCCTTGCAGGGTACAAATGGCATTGATGCATTTTAATAATCATATTGTCATTCTTACCTGTGTATCTGAAGATAAAGCTGGTGCAAAGTAGAGCAAGAATCAGAGAGGAAAAGAAGAAATTCCTAAAATAAAACAACTCTCTTCATTCTTTGTATACAAAGTGCCTTGCTAATATATATCCTCTTACAAAGGCTTTCACAGTAAAATAGAATCTTGAATGTGTCACAGTAAATTTTTTTTTAACATGAGAAAAAAAGAACAAGTCTAAATACTTAAAATTCTTAAATATTATAGTTACTACCACAACCACAATTAGCAGCTAATGTTTACTAAGAACCTACTACACACCAATCATGTACCAAGTGGCTTTATACATGTTACTTTATTTAATTTTAGTCTTCTCAAAAGATGACTAAATTATGACAAATTATCCCCAATTCACAAACTAGAAAGCTGAGGCTCAGATATGAAGTAACTTGATCGAGTACCACAGCTAAAACCCAGTAAGGCTAAGATTAAAGTACAGGTATGACTGTTCACCCATTAGAATTAGGCTATCTCTTAGAAAAAAAAAATAGTTTTCACTATAGCGTAAGATATAGAAAAAAGATGAATAATTTAAAAAATTACCCTGATAGCAGGGCATTAATTAAAAAGGCGTTATTGGGGGTCATTTTGCCATCTACACACCAAGCAAATATGGAATGGGTAACTATCCATCAAGTGTCATTGGTGTGGACACCTTCTCACCCCGGCTGGACCTCTAGCACTGGAATACACACCATGCAAGCTGCAGGGGACTCAACTTAAGAGCAGCCAACTACTCTAAGTGGCGGCTGCCCAGAGAGCCAATTTGGTCAGCACAACATATAGGATGTAAATGTGTCCATAACCAGCGTGCCTGCCATTGGATTCTGACTGTAATATACAGTCACTGAAGTTGCTTATCTTTGCCTCGAAAAGTAACAAGAGTAAATTCAAAATGGACATTTTTTTTTTAATCACTAATATCTATGTACTAGTAATGATGCTCCTCTCACCGGCTGATCTTCCCCTCTGTAAGCATTCCCTGCTCTTCTCTCCATATAATCTGTCTTGACAACTTATCTCTTCTGTTCATGTATCTTCAACTATTACTGCTATTCTGATGTCTCTCAAATATACAGGTCTTCTTAAAATCATTAACGTTTAAAGTTTTAAACTTAAAGAATATAATTTGGAGATATAGTAGAAATAATTGTATGTTATTAAAAGGAAAATTGAATTAACTTCTGAAAATTGATGTATGCTTACTACTGTTTTCAGAGAATTGAATAAAAATAATAATGATGATGGTAGCCTCTTAAATGACAAACATTTAACAATTAATAATATTAATCCATCTTAAAAAATACTCTTGACAAAATAACTTCAAAAGATTGTTTTTGGCAAGAATGAATAAAAACATGGTAAATTATAATTCCTGTAGATTATATTTATGCATTATAAAATACAGCCTTACCTTAGTGTAGTGCAAAAGGGAGTTGGCAAAGAAACGGCATAATTTGAGTGTTTTATGAAACAATCTATAGTCAGCATTATCCTATTCAAAAAAAGGAAGAAATTGTAATAATGAAAGAATATGAAATTAGCTAAACTTATAAACAAGAAGTTAATTTTTAATAAGATCTCTTGATAAACAGAGTTTAAAATTTTTTCAAGAAAATCTGATTATTCTCTGCATTGCTTTCGGAAATAGTACAAATAAACAAATACCAAAAGACAATGGAAGTATTCCATAAAAACAAACTTTATATGGAGTTCCTCACTCAATGCACTGCCGTCGAGTCAGACCCAACTCATAGCGACCCCTCTTTGGGTTTCTGAGGCGGTATCACTACAGAAGTAGATTGCCCAACCTTCCTTTCAAGAAGTGGCTGGTGGGTTTGAACTGCCAGTCTTCTGGTTAGCAGTCAAGTGCCTTAGCCATAGATGACAGAAACTGTTAATGTGTTCAGCTGCTAACTGAAAGGTTGGTGGTTTCAGTCCACACAGCGGTAGCTCGAAGAAAGTCCCGGAGGCCTACTTCCAAAAATCAGCCATTGAAAACCCCATCAAGCACAGTTCTACTGGGACACACATGGAGTTGCCATGAGTCTGAATCAACCTGACAGTAACCAGGTTTTTTTAAACTTTATATTAATAAAAAGAAATCTTAACAGCAAAGATTGGTGCTTGTTGTTGATTTGAAAGTGAAAGAAATTTAAAAATCTTAATTGCTCTTTGCTATGGGGGATGAAGTTAACAGTAATTTTTAAAGATGGTCAAAAGAAAAAGTTATTATGAATCAATAAATTTCAGACACAAAAAAAATTAAGTAAAGGACCTGAAAAGGTAGTTCACAGAAAAAGAAATACAAACATCCAATAAATTAACATTAAAAATCAAAGTTACATATTTGGGGGGGACTGTTTGATTAGCAAAGATTAAAAAGACTAGTAACATCCCATGCTTGAGAAGGATGTGGGGAAACAAGCTTTTACCATAAAATAATATTACACTCTTTTATTTATTATTAAAAGTTTAAAGTGTTAAAATTCCTTGATCTAGTAGCAATTCAACCTCTGGAAATACATCCTATAGAAACACTAGCACAGGTATGAACTAATTGTCCATCAACTGGAGAATGGCTAAGTGAATTAAGGTACATTTCATAAACTGGAAAACCATACAGCTATTAAAAAGAATCGGGCAGATATATTTTCATGGACATAAAAACAGATTACTTAGTAGATTGTTAAATAAAAAAGCAAGTTGTAAAACAATATATATAATACAATACTATCATTATTTCAAAATGTGTGTTATATGTTAATATTTGCTTTCCCCCTCTCAAAACAATACATCAAATCCTTACATCCTCTGGTTCCCTCTAGCAGATAAATGAAGGCTTTCACTTTCCACATTTGGTATTTGTGTAATAAGTGAGAACTGTGAGTATACATTATTTTTAAATTGATAAAACAATGAGTTAATGCCTAGGTAAGTTATATTGGAGGGGTATGTGGAGGGCTATAGAGGCACCCTAGCAAGGTTTAAACCTTGCCCTTACCCCAACTACTACATGATATGGAGAAACTTATTTAACCAGTTATTTAACTGTGGACCAATTTCCTCAATGAGGCTAATACTAGGGTTACTGTGAGGTTTAAACAGTGTCTGACACTTAGTCACCTTAGTTCAATTAAGTATTGATTCTTACGTAATTCAAAGAGCTTTAAATTAATGTTATGAAATTAAGTCAAACAGATAATTGTCTTTGAGAATAATTTCATATGAAAATATATTTTAACTTTAATATCAGCTCTGGTAGCATAGTGCCTAAGGCACCTGACTGCTAACCAGAAGGCTGGTGGTTCAAACCCACCAGTCACTCCTTGGAAGGAAGGTTGGGCAATCTACTTCCATAGTGATATTGCCTCAGAAAGGGAGGGGTTGCTATGAGTAGGGTCCAACTTGACGGCACATAACAACAACAACAACAAAAAATATCAATTAACTATGTTCTATTTCTTTTCCAACAATATAGCAAAACTTTAATTAAACCCAATCAAAATGGAACTGAGTAATCTACTAATTGAACATGAGCTTTCATTATTATTAAAAATATTTGAAATCAATTTTCCACAGCAGAAATAGATGAAAATCCACCTTTCTTTGATAATTATGAACATGAACTCTATTATACAATGCTATACAAGTTGAAAAGTACAGAGATTAAAGACGAATCCACATTGACCTTATAATGTATTAAGAAATTTTATTCTGTTTAGAAGTCAAACCACCATAAAAAACCTTCCCTAACTTCAAGATTAGGTACATAGCTTGTACTGCCATGAGCCAACTCCAATTTCTTCAAGTATTATGTTGCTGTTGTTGTTGTTATGTGCCGTCGAGTTGGATCAACTCATAGCGACCCCTTCCTGGGTTGCTGAGGCAGTATCACTATGGAAGTAGATTGCCCAACCTTCCTTCCGAGGAGTGGCTGGTGGGTTTGAATCGCCAGCCTTCTGGTTAGCAGTCAAGTGCCTTAGGCACTATTGTGTAATTACTTGCTTATTTGTCTGTCTCCCCAGCTAGACTCTAAGGTGTTGAGGACAGAGTATGATCAGCTCAACACCTAGTGCAATTCCCAGCACAGAATAAGTGCTCTAGAAATATCTGTTAAATGAATGAATGAAGTCACACAATTTATTATCAGTTTACTCTTTTCTTTCTCATTAAAGAGGAAATTATGCAAGATTTGGTTGAAGGCTCTAGTTTTACTTTGTTACTAAATAGCACACTAATTAAATCTAGGGCTTTTATTCTGATTCTTTCAAAAAGCAAAGTAAACAACACAAACACAGTAACAGTCCAATCTTGATTTACTCAACTGTTTAAAATAGAAAGCTTACATCTCAATGTCAACAAAGAAGGGCATGGGGAAGGCAAGCAAAGAAGAGCAGTTGGTCTGAGCATTTTCCAATGTTTTGAAATGAGAATATTCATTCTTTTTTTAAAAAAAATTAAAAAAAGGGAAAATACTGATAAAATCTAAATGTAGCAGGCAATAAATCTAATGGTGGACAGTAACTATAATAACCAGTTGCTGTCCAGTCAATTCTGACTCATGGTGAGTCCATCTGTATCAGAGTAAAATTGACATCAAGCAATGTTGATTTTTGGAAGCAGACTGCCAACCCTTTCTTCCAAGGCACCTCTGGGTGAATTCAAATCTCTAACCTTCCAGTTAGCAACCTCTTGGTTAGTAGCTGAGAATGGATGTTATCCTTTTATACCACCCAGAGACTCAATACCTATAATAAACCCAAACGATACCCACTGCCATCAAGTTGATTACAACTCAAAGTAACCCCCATGGGTTTCCAAGGCTGTAAATCTTTACAGAAGTAGATTGCCTCTTCTTGTTCCCATAGAGCAGCTGATGGGTTTGAACCACTGACCTTTGTGGTTAGCAACCAAATGCCTTACCCACAACGGCACCAGAGCTCTTTATACATATAATGGTATATGTTTATTTTCTGAATAATAATTTCTATAAGTACTATATAAACAAAAGTAGGAATTACAGTGGCAATTAAATTATATCTTGGGGCCTTACAAATTTCCCAATCTTTATAGGAAAACTTAATTGTAGCTAACTAAAAAATTGTATGTTAAAATGTCTAATATAATGTTCTCTTTTTGAAACAAAGTTCAAGACTTAATAGAAAATAAACTTCTTATCAAATTTAGGGACTGACAGACACATCCATGTGCATCCACAAAACTGCTTGCAAAACAATATAAAAAGTACCTTGGTTTCTAAATAAATACCAATAATGAACAGCAGAGGGTGCTGCAGATCAGAATTTAGAGTTAACTGCACCTGTGAAAGCTCCATCTCTGGCAATGGACAGCAAGTAGTGCTGCTCACATTTTTTCAGTCCCAAATTGACACAAATAAATATGAAACTTACTTGGACAGTTCAAGAAATTCACATTTTAAGCTTCCTGGTATTCATATACAAGCAGTTTACATACGCTGAACCTACATATTTTATGCACAAGTAGTTTCCTGGGCCAGGCAGCACTCCCAGGATCTCTCTCTTGTCACTACAGACTGACAATCTTGTTGCCTGGGCCTTCCCTATCGCATTCCTGTTAGGAACCTCTGTCTAATCTACTTTCCAGTCACTAGCTAGGGGGTCCTTGGTGTCAAGATAAGCAAGCAGGAAGAAAACTGAGGAAGGATGAGGTTGATATTGGAAATATAAAGTAACATAGGATTGGGGAGAAGGGCAACTTTCCTGCTACTGTCACATTCAACCAAATAACACCTCCTTTCAGCAAGGTGAGGGGAATTAGAAGGGTGTGTGAAGGAAACAGAAATGAAAATGAAAAGGGAAAAAGAAAGAAGGAATATAAGGTGAGGATAAAGAGGAGAAAAAGAAGAGAACCTTTTTAACCTCATTTTAAAGCAACTCATTTCCTTCTTACTACTTTAAGCAAAGTTCTACCTTCCTCTAGTGTCTGTCTTTCTATAGCATCCCTGCTCCAGGAGTTGCCTGGTACCAGTATTAGGGACTGTATGAATCCTTACACTTCCACCCTCCAGCTGCTTGGCAAGCAAGAGAAGAGGTACAAAAGAATTCCCTGTACAGCTCACAGGTCTGTGACAGGAAGGGATGGGTTACTGTTATTCCAGAAAGAGATATTTAATTCATTTTCTCATTAAAATTATTATATTTGACCATTAGGTCCCAAGTGTGATTAATTTAGGCCTATTATAAATTAAAACAGATTTAGAAGTCTAATCTAAAATCAAAGGTACTATGTGTTACATTGTTTAAAATGAGTTAGAATTCCCAATATTATAAATTTTTAGAACACAATCTTTCATAAATGAGATGAAAACTCAACACTATGTTTAACTTTTTGAAATAAAAATAGAAGCTAAGTATATACCAAATTTAGAAAATTGATACACACACTTATATATTATATAGGCTGAAGTGAATGGTAAAGAAAAGATAGAAACGTCAATTTGGCTAGGTCAAAAATAGAGGCCTAAAGAGTTTTTTATTCTGGGACATAAAGAAAGAAAGGATTCTGAAGAGAAGGCTTTGGCCAATCAGTTCGCATGTAAAGTAGCTCTGGCACACTACAAACAATGACAGTAGCTAGGAGAGTCTTAACGTAATGTTCCACTGAAAAGTAACTATGGCTTATAAATGACTCTATAGATTAAAATAATAAATCAAAACCTTGTAAAAGATACTAACCCACAGATTCAAATGAGATTTAGTAACTGCCAAAGGAAATAACAGATACTGTTTTAAAATGCTGTTAAGACCATATTTTACCTGTGTGTCTGACTGTGTCATCTGCTCAGCTAACTGTAAGCAAGAATGGAAGGAAAAGAGAGTATCTTCACACAAGCTAGTTATTATATCTTTGTGCTTCAGCTGGTTTTTTATAACCGACTGGTGCTTAAGGCTCTGCCTAAATGAATAAAAAGAAAAGAATACAAGCACCATAAATAACATATCAAGTAACTTAAAACCAAAAACCAAACGCACTGCCGTAGAGTTGGATCTGACTCATAGCGACCCCTTCTTGGGTTTCCAAGGCGATATCCCTACAGAAGTAGATTGGCCACCTTTGGTTTTGTAAGGAGCTTTGGTGGCATAGTGAGTGGTTAAAGTATTTGGCTTCTAAAAGGCCGGTGGTTCGAACCCACCAGCTGCTCTGTAGGAGAACAATGAGGCAGTCTGCTTCTGCAAAGATTTACCGCATTGGAATTTAGGCCCATGGAAATACTTCTTTACAGTATGTGTGTATATATATTTAATTTATATATATACATATATATATAATAACAATGCATCAAATAAATTACACATGATATAATTCAGATGTCTCAATTTCACCTCTGAAGTAGTTCTGGTTGTTTAATTTGCTAGTTTTTTCTTTTTCTCCTTGTGAAATATTAACTGAACTCTTACTGTGTTCTAGGCATTCTGCTAGACCTTGATAAAGGTGAATCAAATAGATACAATTTCTGCCCTGTCTGGATGAACCTGTGGCTTAGCATAAAAGAAAACAATTAAATAATTATAAGAATAACTCATTAATTAATTACAGTTGTGATGAATGCTACGATAGAAGCATCTAGGGTGCTCTGGGAGTATACAATAGGAAAACATAATCTAACTTATCCTTAGGGTGAGGATGGCAAAGAAAGCTACCAAGAAGATGTGACATTTAAAGAGAAAACTGAAAGATAGTCAGCAAGGTACAAACCAGGGGAGATGAGCATCTGAGGCACAAGGGAAAAAGTCTGTGAAAACGCTCCGGACAGGAGAGTGTGGTATGTTTTAGAAACTTAGGCTATACATGGTGGCTTGAGGGAGACCCAGCATGATATGGGTTGGAGAGGAAGGCAAGGGCAAAGAGTTAGGTTGCTACATAATGGGATAAATTTTAGCAGCAGAATAACAACTTGATTTACATTTTTTAAAAATTACTCTGAATGCTGGATAGAAAATGAATTGGTAGGGTGCGGAAATGAAAGATATTTGATGATAATAATGGTGATTACTATGTGTCAGGCACTATTCTAAGTCTTTCACACTGATAAACACAATTCTTACAATACCCCTATCAAGAAGGTGCTATTACTATCTCCATGTGCAGATGAGAAAACTGAGACTCTGAGAGTTAACCAGCTTGCCCAAGGGCATGTTGTTGTTGTTGTGAGCCATCGAGTGGGACCCAATTCATAGCGACCCCTCCTTGGGTTTCCGAGGCAGTATCACTACGGAAGTAGATTGCCCCATCGTCCCTCCAAGGAGTGGCTGGTAGGTTTGAACCACCAGCCTTCTGGTTAGCAGTCAAGTGCCTTAGCCACTATGCTACCAGAGCTCCCGCCCAAGGGCACAGGACAAGTAAATGATTTCAGAATGGATTCAGATACACACAGTTTGGCTCCGAGAGCAGGTGTTCCTAACTACCACACTGTTACTTGTTGACAACTTAATGACTCGCTCATCCAAGGAAAACACCCAAGAGCTTTGAATGTATTATGATTTTAAATCATTTTTACTTCTTCAGTATACCTCCCTAAACCCTAAGAATCTGAGGAAAATTATGAGCACTCCCCTTAGTAGGACTCACAAAGCTCCAGTTTCATAAAATTAAAATTACTTTTTAATTATTAAAATTAAAATTAATAATGGAATTAAACTTGAACACCTCAAAGGTATATAATAAATAGATTTATACTTATATCATTACCTCATACATTGCACAGAACCATCTTATTCTGTTTATAACCAAGTTAATTCTAACAACTAATTCATCTAATCCTGGAAGTAAGATACCTGATAGTAAAAGCAGAAAACTGGCCAAAATCTAGTCTGGCCAGCTATTTCAGAAATACTAGCTAACGAAGTAGAATTTTTTTTTTAGTTTCTATTGGAATAAAAAAATTCCAGTTTGCCCTGGGAGTTACATGTATGATGTTTGGCTTATCAGAGAACAGTGTCAGTAAACATTACAAACACACACACACACACACACACACACACACACAAAATGTTCCAAATGTAATCTAAGAAATCTTATAAATAAGTAAAATATAGGATACAGAAGATATAGTATAAAAAGTTTTTTTTTAAAAAAACTTACTTAATTATAAACTTCCATGTATTGGCATGAAATGCACTGTCTATCCTGGAAATAACTACGCAGATATCCAACAATGAATGAATAACTGCAAAGAAAAATAATACAACTCTTAGGACATTCAAATGTACATATGAGGTGAGTATCTTCTTTATTTAAAAATATTTACTGAAATTTGACATTTGATTAAATTAAATATAGGAAACACCGTTTGAAAATAATTGTGTTAAACTTCTGACTTAAGCTTTTCACTAATCATTGAAATTTAATTTCTAAAGTTTGTACTTCAAAAATGATCAGTGACACTAAAAATGTTCAGTGGGAAAAAAAAAAAAGTTCAGTGGAATATAAAATAGTGCCTTACTACAATTGTAATATTCTATAGATATTAAGTATAATCCAAAAATGACAAACTGCTAAGGAAAAGTATATATAACAAGGGAGAATTAAAACTAATTAGCCCAATATTCATGTCAGGCTTCTAGTCTACCCATAAAAAAACAAAACCAAAATCACTGCTGTGGAGCTGGTTCCAATTCATAGCGACCCCTCCTTGGGTTTCTGAAGTAGTATCTCTATGGAAGTAGATTGCCCAGTCTTCCTTCCAAGGAGTGGCTGGTGGGTTTGAACCACCAGCCTCTGGTTAGCAGTCAAATGCCTTAGGCACTATGCCACCAGAGCTCCCACTCAACCTGTGGCAGACTGTAAAAATGGCCATACTGACTCTGTTTCCTATATCCATCCACACACTTGGCAGTCATTTCCCACACTGACTCTGGGCTTAGCCACATGACTGGCTTTGGTCAACAGGACAATAAATAATTAATGTGAGGCAAGCAGAGGCTTGAATAATGCTTGCACATTGGGGTTTGCTGTCTTGGAAACCAAAACACCACCAACAGGTAATGAGGATGATGCACCATACACAGCTGGCCCAGTACTTCTGCCAAAAGTCAGACATGTAAGTGAGAACACGGACCACACACACCCATGAGCAAGCCAGTTGCACCATGAGGAGCAGAGAAAGCTGTTCTAGCGGAGCCCAGCTTAAACTGCTGACCCAACCAAAGAATCATAAATAAATAAAATTGTGGTGTTTGAAGCCAACAAATTTTGGGCTGGTCTGTTACAGAGCAAAAAGGTACCTGATACACTGCACAGAACAAATTATTCTGTTTATAACAAAGATATGAATACAATCTTTTCCCTTTTCAAACCTACCAGCCACTCCTTAGAAGGAAGACTGGGCAATCTACTTCCATAGAGATATCACCTCAGAAACCCAAGGAAGGGTCACTATGAGTTAGAACCTTAGAGCATAGTTTTTTAAACTCTGGGTCATAATAATACATTAGTGAGTGATGAAATCAATGTAGTAAGTTAAACCAGCAATTTTTAAAAATGAAAGAGTGTATCATATGTCTAAAGGATATTATTTCATGTATAATACTTAAATACTTATGCATGTATATAAATAACTCTCAACACACACACATACATACTTATGTGTATCTTGGGTGGCAATATAAAATGTATTTTTTCACTCTGCGCTATGGTTAAAAGGGGGAGCTCTGGTGGCATAGTGCCTAAGGTATCTGACTGCTAACCAGAAGGCTGGAGGTTCAAATCCACCAGACACTCCTCGGGAGGTTGAGCAATCTACTTCTGTAGAAATACTGCCTTAGAAACCCAAGGAGGGGTCACTATGCATAGGATCCAACTTGACAGCAGTTTTTTTTTTTTTTGAGTGATGGTTAAAAGGAGTTCTGGTGGCGTAGTGCCTAAGGCATTTGACTGCTAACCAGAGGCTGGTGGTTCAAACCAGCCACTCCTCAGAAGAAGACTGGGCAATCTAAAATCCAAGGAGGGGTTGTTATGAGTCCGATTCAACTTGACAGCAGTGAGTTTGATTTTTTTTGGTTATGGTTAAAAATGTTAAAGCTACTACTTCAGAATGTGTACCCAGAAGATATGAAGTTACATATGTTTATTAGTGATTGTGGGGAAATTACCTATTATGTACCTTAACTGGATATGCAAATCTATGTTAAGACATCAAAACTAAATTTAACAAATTCCAAATTTAAAAGACTATTATTGACAGGATCTAAATTATTTTTGTACTCATAATGAGTGACTAAGCCTTTATGAATCACTAGAAACAGTGTAGGATTCAATAATTTAACCGTTACAAAGGTTTTATAAATTTATAGACAATGGACAACATATACTAAGCAGATTGTTTTGGCACTCACCTATTACCATATTCAAAATATCATCATTCTCATCTACTAAAGGGTCTATGCAAACCATATCCAGTAGTTCCATTAGCTGCTTTTGAAGAGAATAGGCCTCCTTAAAAAGAGCCTGGAGAAGGTCTGAAACTAGGTGTAAACGCCCAGAATATACAGATTCACTATTCTGATCACAAATGAATAAAAAACAAGAAAAAGCAAGTCAGAAAGAGCTCAGGAACCAAATTTACTTTAACTAATACTATCAAAGATGTTAAATTACATACTGCTTTTCACTGAATCACATATCCATTCATTAAACAAGCATTTAGTGAATATCCTTTATGGATCGCATACTTCAAGAGATGCAAAAAAATGTAAGGTATAACATATGGTTTCTGGCTTCCAGTCTTGCAAATACAGAACTAAAAGGGAGCTAAATAATATCAGGTCAGTTATATGACCTAATTTTAGCACCCTCTCACCAAAGAAGCATTAATTAACTGATGACTTTCACTCACCCAACAAAGCATATCAAAGCTGTGTTTGTACCACAAATCAGCTTTTGAACCTTAAAGTTGCCTGAATAATGTAGAGATGGACTAAGCAAGGGCCATTGTTCCTTCACAGGCACCTATCATTGAAGAACTAATCTGACCTACCAACGCCATTTGACATACTATGTCATGATTCCTGTGACTCAACACAAATCTACATAGTTTATTTATAGATGGGAAGTAAGATTTTTCACAAAAACAAAACAACCTCCCACCTCCACTCCCCAAAAAAGTCCCACTTGTTATGACTTCCCAATCCTCACTTATTTTAAAACAAATACTTAGAGACATGCTCTTTGTTCTATGGAAAAGTTAAATTACAATAATACAGGCTAACATGTAAATATATGTACAAACACTCTTTCACTTGGCTCCTTTACTCACGATTCTAGGCCACTTAAAATGTACTTAGACCCATTACTCACCTTACAATGTACAAATGTACTTTTGATTACATGAAGGACTGAGGAGGGGAGACTATGAATATTTTCTAGAGCAATGGACTCCTGTGTAGCACAGACGTGCTGAACACATCCTGTAAGAGCTCCTAAGACCTGCACCATTGTCTAGAAATAAGGAAAGAAGCTTGTTTCAGAATATATATATATATATTTTTTTTTTTCCTAATAATAGTGACCCGCACTTGTATTTTAATTCCTGTCTTTACCTTGATATCCAAAATATTTGCCACTTGTGAATCTCATCTGGTAAGTTTCAGAATATATTTTTTGTATACCTTAAAGATATCAAGTATTATACAGAGTACTGGGGATAAAGCAGTAAACAAAACAGGTTCTGCTGCAAAGAAGAATGAAGAAAACCAAAGACACATGGAAACAATTAGTCTAAGAGACTAGCAGGCTATGCAATCCTCAGCCTATATGACCATCAGATCAGAAGAAGAACTAGATGGTGCCCAACTACCACTGTCAACCACTCGGAGGGGGAACAACGCAGGAGATCCTGGACAGACTGGGAGAACAATGTGGAACGAAACTCAAAATCATAAAAAACACCAGATTTACTGGTCTAATAGAGCCTGGTGAGAACCCCCAGACTATGGCCCCTAGTTACCCTTCAGCTCTGGAACTGAACTCACTCCTGTGGCTTCCAGCCAAACAACAGATAGGCATAAAAGGTGAACACGTATATCAGGCAGACACACTCCTTGGAGGATCAATCATGGGAAAACAGAAGGGCAGTGTTTGCACAGGGAGATAGCTCAGCAGGCAGGAATGCATAGGAAAGAAGGACACAGGGAAGAGGTAACTACAGGGAGGAAGTGGGAAAAGAGCTGCTACATTGTGGGGAATTGCAGTCAATGTCATGAAACAGAAAGTGTTCGAACTGCTGTACGGAAAATGTATTTGCTCTGTAAATGTTCACCCAGATCACAATAAAAATTTAAAAAGGAAAAAAAAACCAGACTGTTTCTTCCCCCATCAGTCTATTAAAACTAAAAAAACTGGAACAACTAGCTAGCTAGTTTTAAGGAAAAAAAAAAAAGTGGAATCCTAACACACACACAGTGCATGTGCTATGAAATTACAGGCTGTTGTTGTTGTTGTTATGTGCCGTCGAGTCGGCCCCGACTCATAGCGACCCCTCCTTGGGTTTCCGAGGCAGGATTACTACAGAAGTAGATTGCCCAACCTTCCTTCCGAGGAGTGGCTGGTGGGTTTGAACCGCCAGCCGTCTGGTTAGCAGGCAAGTGTCTTAGCCACTATGCTACCAGAGCTCCCGACAGTGCATGTGCTATGAAATTACAGGTAGGAACCCTATTTGATTATTTGCTTTCTTCTAAGAGTTTAGATGCTATGTAGATTTCACACAAGAAATTATACCAAAGAACCCAGAATTTAAGTTTCTATATTCATATCTTTAATTCTATAAATTTAATTCAAGCATTAGGATATTACGTAAAGAATACAAGGTTAATTAATATTAGTATAACAATTCTCACACTCTTCTAAGCTCTTTTTCTCTCTCTTCAAGGCATTTGACTTACTTGTAAAATATTCCTTAGGGTGCTCTGGATTTCCAAATTTTGGCTTGATAATTCTCTTGCTTGATTAGTTAATTCATACATCATGTCATCAAATAATTTCACAGTCTGTGAAAACAAAGCAAATTATATAGAGAGTAGAAACCACTAAGAAGGAAGCATACATGTTTCAAGGAAAAAAATCAAACAAGCATAGAATATAGAATGTATTGATTATGCATTAGTAACACACATAGGATACTGTCTACTTTAACAATGGTACTAAATACACTATTTCTACAATGTAATATCTTAAAAAAACAGTCTTAGACAGAAATTGATGTGTTTTTCATTTCTGTGATTTGAATCTATTTAATAATAGCAATAAAAAAATTCCAAGTTCATTTTTTTTTTAGATGCAAGAAATGTAAATACTGCTCTTTGCACAATGAAAGACCAAACAATATTCATAAAGGCGTTTACAAGGGTGTATTCTGGAGTGGGTAATGCATTTGTGCTAAATCAACTATTAAATTCTAAGCAGTTGCCCTTTTTGAGCAATACAAAATACCCTTCTTGGGTTTGTTGTTGTTATATGCCGTCGAGTCGGACCCGACTCATAGTGACCCCTCCTTGAGTTTCCGAGGCAATATCACTACGGAAGTAGATTGCCCCATCTTCCTTCTGAGGACTGGCTGGTGGGTTTGAACCACCGGCCTTCTGGTTAGCAGTCAAGTGCTTTAGCCACTATGCTACCGAGCTCAGGACTAAGTTTCTGTCTGTGAAAAGCTACACTAAGATCTTTATACTCTGATCTTTCTAAACAAATTAAATGGTCTAAGCACTGCAAGAACAATGCAGTCAACAATAGGTCTGTTAATGCTCAATGGCCCTGTTTTCATCTACATATAATGTAGGCATTTTTCCAGTGGTCAAAAACAAATCCTAAGAAACTTTTCAGATAAGAGAACAATCAAGTGAATGTGAGTAAAAGGAATCCTGATATTGCTTGCTTAAAAGCTAAACTTAGAAATCTATTCCAAAAAAAAAAAAAGAAGAAGAAGAAGCTTAAGGGTAAGTAGTGGGAAACAAACAATAAACATACTAAAAGTAAAAAAAAAAGAAAAAGAAAAAAAAAATCTATTCTAACAAGGGTAAGTTATCACAAACAATTGTTTCATTTCAGTATCAAAATACCTTTACTTATTTCATTTTAAAAAAAAAAAAGTACTATGATAGTGCTTTTCAGAGAAAAAGTATTATATATATGAATAATAAAGAGCTCTGGTAGGACAGTGCCTAAGGCATGTGACTGCTAACCAGAAGGTAGGTGGTTCAAACTCACCAACCACTCTGCTGAAGCAAGACTGGGCAATCTACTTCCATAAAGATTTACCGCCTCAGAAATCCAATGGGGGTTGCTGAGTTGGAATCAACTCGACAGCTTAGTAAGCTTCAGCATTCATTCCAATTTTTCATTTAGTAGGTTTAAAACGCAAGACTATTTAAAATTAGCTCGCTCTCTCTCACTGCCAACAAAGTAATTCGACTCATAGTGACCCCTCCTTGGGTTTCTGAGGCGGTATCTCTATAGAAGCAGATTGCCCAATCTTCCTTCCAAGGAGTGGCTGGTGGGTTTGAACCTCCAGCCTTCTGGTTAGCAGTCAAATGCCCTACGTGCTACGCCACCAGAGCTCCCAATATAATTTAAATTCAATGAGTAGAGGATACAATTGAAAATAGTTTTTAATGCCTCATGATCACCCTCACACCATATTTTCACATGAGATCTTTTACTACTTTACTTGTATTTCAAATATATTTGATACATTAGAAAAACAGAGCCACAAGAATAAATAATCTAAAACTGAGACAACAATCTTTATGACATGTTGATTGATTAAAATAATAATAATATACCTTTGGTAATACTTGAGAAAAGAAAGTCTTTTCCAATGTCAGGTGGTTCATGTGAGGTAGAAACATTTCTATAATTATTTTCAGAAGTTCTATAAAGAAAAGTATTAATATATTTCACAAAAATTTTAAGTCTTATTAGCCAACAAAGATCATTGCTCTTTACCAAATTCAAGAATATGCTAGTATGACTGATCTAAAACTTTGTAGTTTCAATATGTCATATTCTTTGTGGAGAAACTATTAAGTATCTGAAATAATAAACAACCTCCCACCCCCACCCCACAAAAGAAAGAAACAACTTATATGTCCAACAACTGGAGACCAGCTAAACAGATGTTCACTGAATTGGATATTCTGCTATCATTAAAATATCAGAAATTACTTAAAAGAGAGAAAAAAAAAAAAAAGGTTCATAATAAAGTTAAAATAGGTACCAAAATAGAAAGATCCCAATTTTAATATATATAAATATGTGCATACCAAGATTGACAGATAGGCTGGAGGGACATATAGAAATCAAATGAGAATTTTCTATATCAAAATGTTACCAATCATTTCTGATTAGTGGACTTTTCATTGACTATTATCTTTTTCACACTTCTCAAATCTTCTGCAATAAACGTATGTAATGCTGATAGGATAAAAATAATTCTGCTACTTAAAATAAATTATACCAAACAGGCAACACAAATTCAAAATTATAAACAAATATTTCACAACCAAGTAAAATATGAACAGAAGTAGAAGTGCCCCATATGGTTTCCAAGGCTGCAAATCTTCAGACTGCCACTTCTCAGAGTGGCTGGTAGGTTCAAACCACCACACTTTCTTTCAGCAGCTGAAAGCTTAAACACTGCACCACCAGGGCTCTTTTAGTAAACTGAAATATATGACCAAATCATAGTCTACAGTCTTTAGTCTCTAGCTCCTTTTTACTAAATGAGTAAATCACATCAAGTAACATTGATGAAAACAGCTGGAGATGAGAAAGCCAATTTTCTCCAAATGATAAATTTGTCATCACTTAGGCAATCAAATTTTTGTAACTTATAAACTATTTTCTAAATGACACTAAATATGTTAAAGGCTGAAGAATATTAAATAGATTACACATTGTTTTATGTACACATCTAGCTCTGGTGGTGTAGTGCCTAAGGCATTTGACTGCTAACCAGAAGGCTGGCAGTTCAAACCCACCAGCCACTCATTGAAAGAAGACCAGGCAATCTACTTCCGTAGTGATACTGCCTTGGAAACCCAAGGAGGGGTCACTATGCGTCAGATCCAACTTGACTGCAGTGAATTTGTTTTTTTTTTTGGTATATTTAATCACAGTTTAACATCTAACACTTAAAATTTGTACTGTGCTTATACATACATCATCAAATTAATACTTTTGTTCAAAATGAAATTTAAATAATTAATTTTAAGTACTATAATTTGAAGAAAATTGGTCATTCTAAGTTCACTGAAGTTTTCAGAAACCACAACACTATAGTAAAGATAATCCATTGCTATTGAGTTGGTTCCAACTCATAGTGATTGTTTAGGACAGAGTAGAACTGTCCCATAGGATTTCCAAGGCTGTAAATCTTCACGGAAGCAAACTGCCACATCCTTCTTCTGTGGAGCAGCTGGTGAGTTTGACCTGCCAACCTTTCGGTTAACAGCTATGCACTTATTCACTGCACTACAGGGGTCCTAACACTACAATAGGAAATGATTAAATGTGAAGGGAATACAAAAATTTAATGTCACTTCCATTGAAATACGCAAAACTCAGATCGCAATGACATCAAAGTAAATGATGTAATTAAAATAATTCTACTTACGAATATGCTCAATCCAACTGTCAGAATGTTGGTACATAGAGTAAAATAATTAAGGAAGACGCTAAAGATATTCACTAATAAGAGTAACTTGAAAAAAAAAACCCTTCTTTGGAATTTATGCAATGATCTATAATATAGACACTTAAATTAGTCTCAAATAACTAGTTTGGCAACAAAAGCACTAGCAGCAAAAGAGAAAACAGATAAATGGGACCTCATAAAAATTAAATACTTTTGTTCATGAAAGTTTATCAAAAAAGTTAAAAGACAACCTACAGATCAAGAGAAAATCTAGGGGAATCACATACCAGATCAGATAAGAGTGTAAGATCCAAAGTATACATATATATAAGGTCTACAACTTAACAACACAAACAACTCAACCAAAAAATGGGCAAAGGAGTTTAACAGATATTTCACCAAAGATATTCAAACGGCCCAACAAACACATGAAAGCTCAATGTTATTAGCCATTAGAAACAAACAAACAAAAAACCTTACTGCTTGTGAGTCAATTCCAACTCACAACAATGCTATAGGACAGAGTAGAACTGCTCAATGTGATTTCCAAAGCTGTAGAGGCTGGGTGCACATTTTTCTCCCCCAGAGCAGTGGTAGAAGCTCTGGTGGTGAAATGCCTAAGACACCTGACTGCTAACCAGAAGGCTGGCGGTTCAAACCCACCAGCCACTACTTGGAAGGAAGGTGGGGCAATCTACTTCCACAGAGATACCACCTCGGAAAGCCAAGGAGGGGTCACTATGAGTTGGTTCCAACTCGACGGCACATAACAACAACAGAGCAGCGATGGGTTCAAATTCCGAACCTTACAATTAGCAGCTGACTGCTTACCCACTGCATCACCAGGGCTCCCTCATTCACCATTCCAAACCCAAACCCACAGCTGTGGAGTCCATTAGGAAATGACTCTGTGATCCTATATGACAGGGTAGAATTGCCCCAAAGTGTTGCCAAGGCTGCAAATCTTTATGGAAGTTCAGTGGGACCTTTTGGTTAGCAGCCAAGTGCTTAACCACTGCACTACTAGGGCTCTATTATTAGCCATTAAAGGAAAAAAAACCTCACCACCATGAAGTCGAATAGGATTCATAGCAACCCCTCCTCTACGGAAGTAAATTGCCCAACCCTTCCTTCCAAGGACTGGCTGGTGGGTTTGAACAGCCAGCTTCTGGTTAGCAGTCAAATACTTTAGGCACTATGCCACCAGAACTCCTATTATTAGCCCTTAGGGAGATGGAGATGCAAATTAAAACCACAATGACATATCACCTCATCCACATCAGAGAAACAATGATCAAATAAACAGAAAACAACAGGCGTAGAGGAAGTTGTGAAGAAACTGGAATCTCTATCCATTGTTGGTGGGAATATAAAATGGTACAGCCACTTCAAAAACCATTTGGCAGTTCCTCAAAAACTTGAACACAGAATCACCATATGACCCAGCAATCCTGATTCTAGGTATATACCCAGAAATAAGGCAGGAACGCAAACAGAAACCTGTATACCAATACTCACTGCAGCACTTTTCACAACAGTGAAAACGGAAACTCCTATCAATAGACCGATAGATAAACAAAATGTGGTATAAACATACAATGGAATATTAGTCAGTTATAAAGAGAAAAGAAGTTCAGATTCATGTCACACCATGGCTGAACTCTGAAGATATTATGCTAAGCAAAACAAGTGAGTCATGAAAGCATAAATACTGTTATGATCTCTCACGTGAAATAAGTAAATATATAAAAACCAAAGATTAGTAGTTACTGGAAGTGGGAGGGAGGGGTCATTGAATTTATGTCAATGGTGGTGAAATAATCTGAAAAAGGATGGCAGTACTAGTTGTAGAACTTGAAGAATGTAATCAGTATCATTGAATTATACATGTAGAAATTGTTGAATTGAGGGATGTTTTGTTATGCCTATTTTCACCACAATAAAAAAATTACTGGCTTACCTTTGTTTTTTACCTAAGTTTACTGTTGTTGTTGTTGTTGTTATGTACCGTTTACTGTTGTTGTTGTTGTTGTTATGTACCGTCGAGTTGGACCCAACTCATAGTGACCCCTCCTTGGGTTTTTGAGGCAGTACCACTATGGAAGTAGATTGCCCAACCTTCCTTCCGAGGAGTGGCCAGTGGGTTTGAACCGCCAGCCTTCTGGTTAGCAGTCAAGTGCCTTAGGCACTATGCTACCAGAGCTCCCTAAGTTTACTAGGTAAGCAGTTATTATGAAAATACTAAAGCAAACATTTTCAAAATTGCTCAGAGATAAACTTGCCTTTTCAAACCACATATATTTTTGACAGATAAGAAACAGTGCCATAACAGTCCTTTGATTTCTGGTTTCTAATACAGGAAATGCAACACACAAGCCACCATAATACGACAAACCAACAGATGAGTGGTGGCTTGCATGTTGCTGTGAGACTGCAGGCTATGCCACCGGTATAACAAATATCAGCAGGGTCACCCTTGGTGGACAGATTTCAGCAGAGCTTCCAAACTAAGACAGACTCAAGAGAAGGAAGGGGCCATCTGCTTCTCAAAGAACTGGCCAGTGAAAACCTTATGAAAACAGTGAAACACTGATTTAGTACTGGATAACTTCATGAACAGCCCTGAAACAGTCTGGAAGATGAGCCCCTCAGGTTGGAAGGCACTCACAATACAACTGGAGAAGAGCTGCCTCCTCACAGTAGAGTCAATTTTAAAAAGTGGATGGAGTAAAGCCTTTGGGATCTCTATTTGCTTATGGGGAATGACTCAAAATGGAAAGAAACAGCTGCAAACATCCATTAATAATCAGAACATGGAATGCATGAAGTAAGAATGTAGAAAAATTGGAAGTTGTCAAAAATGAAATGGAACACATAAAGATCAATATCCTAGGCATTAGTGAGCTGAAATGGACTGGTCTGGGCCATTTTAAATCAGATAATCCTATGATCGACTATGCTGGGAATGACAAATTGAAGAGGAATGGTATGACATTCATCATCACAAAGAATGTTTCAAGATCTATCCTGAAATATAATGCTGTCAGTGATAGGATAATACCCATACACTTACAAGGAAGACCAATACTACTATTACTCAAATTGCTGCACCAACCACTAAAGCCAGAGATGAGGAAACTGAAGATTTTTCACAATGTCTGCAATCTGAAATTAACCAAACATGCAATCAAGATGTACTGATTATTACTGGTGACTGGAATGTGAAAGTTGGAAACAAAGAAGAATCACCAGTAGGTGGAAAATATGGCCTTGGTGACAGAAATAACGCTGGAGATTGCATGACAGAATTCTGCAAGATGAACTACTTATTTATTGCAAATACCTTTTTTCTACAACATAAACAGCAGCTATACACATGGACCTCACCAGACAGAATACACAAGAATCAGATGGAATATATCTATGGAAAGAGGCAATGAAGAAGCTCAATATCTTCAGCCAAAACATGGCCAGGAACTGACTGTGGAACAAACCATCAACTGCTCATAGACAAGCTGAAGTTGAAGTTGAAGACAATTAAAATAAGTCCATGAGAGCCAAAATATGACCTTGTTATATCCCACCTAAATTTAGAGACCATCGGAAGAGCAGATTTGATGTACTGATCACCAATGACCCAAAACCAGATGAATTGTGGGATGACATCAAGAACATCATACATGAAGAAAACAAAAGGTCATTAAAAAGACAGGAAAGGAAGAAAAGACCAAAATTGATATCAGAAAAGACTCTGAAAGTTGCTTTTGAATGGAGAGTAAATAAAGTAAATGGAAGAAATGACAAGATAAAAGAGTTGAACAGAAAATTTCAAAGAGCAACTCAAGAAGACAAAGTCAGTTAAAGAAATATGCAAAGACCAGAGCTAGCAAACCAAAAGGGAAGAACATGCTCAGCATTTCTCAAGCTGAAAGAACCAAAGAAAAAACTCAAGCCTTGAGTTGCAATAAAAGAGTCTATGGGCAAAATACTGAATGATGCAGGAAGCATCAAAGGAAGATGGGAGGAATACACAAAATCACTGTACGAAAAAGAACTGGTTGATGTTCAATCATTTCAGGAGGTAGCATATGATCAAGAACCAATGGTATTGAAAGAGTAAGTCCAAACTGCACTGAAGGAACTGGCAAAAAACAAGGCTTCAAGGATTGACAGAATAACCATTGGGAAGTTTCAACAAACAGATGGAGCACTGGAGGCATTTACTCATCTATGCCAAGAATTTTGGAAGACAGCTACCTGGACAAATGACTGGAAGAGATCCATGTGTACCCATTTCAAAGATAGGTGATGCAACAGAATGTGAAAACTATCAAACAATATCATTAAGATCACATGCAAATAAAATTTTGCTCAAGATAATTCAAAAACGGTTGCAAGAGTATATTGACAGAGAACTTCCAGAAACGCAAGCTGGATTCAGAAGAGGATGTGGAATGAGGGATATCACTGCTGATGTCATATGGATCTTGTTTGAAAGCAAAGAGTACCAGAAAGATATTTACTTACATTGACTATGCAAAAGCATTCGACTGTGTTAATCATAACAAATTATGGATAACACTGAGAAGAATGGGAATTCCAGAACACTTAATTGTGCTCATGAGGAACCTGTACATAGACCAGGAGGCCATCATTCATACAGAACAAGGGGATATTGTATGGTTTAAAATCAGGAAGGGTTTACATCAGGGTTATATCCTTTCACCATACTTATTCAATCTGTATGCTGAGCAAATAATCTGAGAAACTGGGCTATATGAAAAACAACATGGCATCAGGATTGGAAAAGACTAATTAACAACCTGTGACATGTAGATGACACAACCTTGCTAGCTGAAAGTGAAGATGACTTAAACCATTTATTGATGAAGATTAAATACTACAGTCTACAGTATGGATTACACCTCAACATAAAGAAAATGAAAATTCTCACAACTGGACCAATAAGCAGCATCATGATAAATAGAGAAGAGATTGAAGTTGTTGAAGATTTCACATTACCTAGATCCACAATCAACACCCATGGAAACAGCAGTCAAGAAATCAGATGTCACTGCTGTATGGAAAGTGAACTTGCCCTGTAAATCTTTACCCAAATCACAATTAAAAAAAAAAAAGAAAGAAATCAGATGTCATATGGCACTGGGCAAATCTGCTGCCAAAGACCTCTCTGAAATGCTGAAGAGCAAAGATGTCTCTTTGAAGACTAAGGTGTGCCTAACTCAAGCCACAGTATTTTCAATAGCCTCATATGCATATGAAATTAGTAAGATCTAAGACAAGTTGACGCTTTTGAGTTGTGGTGTTGGCGAAGATTATGGAAAGTACCATGGACTACCAGAAGAATGAACAAATCTGTCCCTGAAGATGTACAGCCAGAATGCTCCTTGGAAGTGAAAATGGCAGACTTCGTCTCACCCACTTCGGTCATGTTGTCAGAAGGGCCCATTCCCTGGAGAAGGCTATCATGCTTGGAAAAGTAGAGGGTCAGTGAAAAAGGGGAAGACCTTCAATGAGATGGACTGACACAGTGGCTGCAATGATGGGATCAAGCACAGCAAGGATTCTGAGGATGGCACATGACCAGGCAGTGTTTCGTTCTGGTGTAAACAGGGTCACTGTGACTTGAAGCCAACTCAATGGCACCTAACAACAAATACTGGAAAGAAATGTCTCCCTCCTCAGCATTTCTATAGTATTTTATCTATATCTATCTTAAATCACTTACCACTTTTTCTCTTATTATTTGTATGCATTATCTCACCAACATTATCAGATTGAAACTCTTCTACATGTAGCAGCTAGCCCAAAAATCCTGAGGAAGGTGGGCTTAATTTATTTCTTACCAAAATGTAGTGAGCTAGGTACTAGAGAAAGTCAAGAGTTAGATCGTGGGGACCCTTTAAAGTAAGGTTGGATTTTATTACAAATTTGATAACAAGCCACTGAATTGGTGAGGGAGGACTTAAAACGACCTTATCAATGTTTTTCACTGTGAACTTCTTTTGGAGAATGGATTATAAGAGGTCTTGAATAGAAACAAGGAAAGTATTATCTATAGTTCAGGTGAGAGGTGACAGGTGACAGGGTTTGGAATAGAGTGGTAGCAACGGAGATGGAGAAAAGTAGACTGATTCAAGATACAGTTTGGAGTCAGAGAACAGAATTTGCTGGGAGTGAGCAAGAGGATTCAAGATTTCAGTTTTTGAAACCCTTTGCTAAGATGAAGAAAGCTGGAGGTGGCATCGGTGGGTTCTTTTGACTAGCTAGAGATGCAAAGACAGGTGAAAATGTTCAGCTTCAAATAAGTGAAAACCAAAAACCAAACTCAATGCCCGTCGAGTCGATTTTGACTCACAGCGACCTCTCCTTGGGCTTCCTAGGCAGTAACACTACAGAAGTAGATTGCCCAACCTTCTTTCCAAGGAGTGTGGCCAGTAGGTTTGAACCATCAGCCTTCTGGTTAGCAGCCAAATGCCTTAGGCATTATGCCACCAGAGCAAAGTCCTCTATAAATTGAGGGGAGGGAGAGGAACCATGTTCCTTATCTTTGTTCCCTCAAAGAATAGAATAGTGCCTGATACAAGTTTTGTTTTTGTATGCTGCAGAGTTGATTCCAACTCACATCTACCCTGTGATAAAAGCAGAAGTGCCCCCAAAGGATTTCCTAGGCTGTAATTTTTATGGGACTAGATCACCAGATCTTTTCTCTTGGGGAGCTGCTGTTAAGTTCCAACAATTGACCCTTTGGATAGCATCCCAGTACTTAACCAACTGCACCACCAGGGCTCCTATTTGGTACATATTGTTGTTGTTGTTGTTGTTTGCCATCGAGTTGGCCCCGACTCATAGCGACCCCTCCTTGGGTTTCCGAGGCGGTATCACTACGGAAGTAGGAATGCCCAACCTTCCTTCCGAGGAGTGGCTGGTGGGTTTGAACCGCCAGCCTTCTGGTTAGCAGTCAAGTGCCTTAGACACTATGCTCCCAGAGCTCCCATTTGGTACATATTAAGCACCAGTAAATTTTTTTTTTTTTTTTTTTATTGGAAAGTTAGCTATTTGTTTTCCAAGTCAAAACTCCTGAGGACAGCAATGATATTTTACTTATTTCCTTATCTGTACAATGACTAAAAAGGGGCTTCTGGTACCTAGTGGGATTTTGCTAATACCTAGGTGAATGACTTCTATTTGATGTGATATTTACTTAACGTGAATGTAGCTGTAAAAATATTTGTAGTGCTGAGAATCTCTCAAGTGAAGCTCAGTCTTTCTTGAGTGTAGTTTTCTTTTGATGTTGAACGTGAGTACAAGGAAGATGTAAAAAAGTATTAAATTTTCATATGAGGGGCTAAGACTCTGGGCACATTTACTGCCACAAAGGCGTGAAACTGGTTTACACCTGGACAGTGTAGATAGTAAGCAACTCAAACCCAGCAGCCGAGAGCCAAAAACCAAAAGAAGTCACTCATTCTAAACAGCAATAAGGGAAAAGAGGTCCAAGAGAAAAGGAGAAAAACGAACATTTTTGTTTATAGAATGACTTTTACAGATTTGTCGCTACGCCACGTTCTTAATTCACACAACACTTACGGTGGAATTATTCACATTCACCACCCATTTTATAGATTATAAAAACTGTGTTCTCCCTCTTGCCGTACCTTATCCAGCTATAAAAAGCCAGACCTAGTCTTACCGCTCAGGTCTGAGTCCTGGCCTTCCCTGGCCCCAAAGGCAATAGAATTTACACTTAATTGCACATGACGTGTAAAGAACTCAAAGACAAGGAGGAATGGAAGAAAGCACCACGTCCACTTGCCAAAACTGTAGTACAGAATCTTTCGACCCTCCCCCAGTGCCAAAATCAGGCATGCCCTCGATCTCATCACCCATGGTTCTCGCTCGTCCTCATCTCCCTCGTTCATCCACACGGAGAGGGGAGGACTCAGGCCGCAGGAACACTGCACTAGTATGAAGGGACAGAGAAGTCCGGAGATGCCGCTCCACCCCTCTCTCTAGAAGGAAGTGACAGCCAAGGATATGAGGAGCCGGGGCAGAACAGACGACAGTTCCCGGCGGCATAGCTCCTCTGGCCAGCTACTTAATTCTTCCAGAGAAACCACGCTCGCTGGGGCCGTGCGATCCTGAGACATACTCTCGCCAAGGAATTCAGCTTCAAACCTGTCCCGCCGCAACTAAAACCGGAAATTCTCACTGTCCCAGCATGTCTCGCGACTTCTCCACCGGCACCAAAACCATAGAGAGGAAGCCGGGTGGGATTCTTGGCGAGCCGGGACTCTCCAAACAAAAAATCAAACCTCTTACTTTGAAGCCAATTCCTACTCATAACGACCCTATAGGACAGGGTTTCCACGGCAGTAAATCTTTACGGGGAAGCCAAAAGCCGTATCATTCTCCTGTCTGGGGCTGTCAGGACCAGGAATGAAGGCCCGGCTTGTCTAGCTCATGGAGGACTCAGCTCACTGGTGCGCGCTTTCAGTCCTAGGGGACTGCGTGGTGTGGCGTTTCCCAGTGAGGTGATGTGGTGTTCTGTTTCAATGTTCATCTTCACATCTGTGTGGTACTAAAAGTTGCAATATAGGGAAGACGCCTTAACGAGGTAAGGTCCGGCAGCCACAAAGTTGCGGCTCTCACTATCATGGAGTTTTGAGGTCTCCCACCTGGGGTCGAGTTTAACTTGGGACTTACAGCCTGAAATGACTCCCAGCCTAGCTGTGCAGTGGGGTAGAGGAAACAAGGACCGTTGCTACCCGTTTTACTGTGTAATGAGACTACAAAGTAGTGTAGTGGGAATAAACATCCTGTCTACCAAAATTGTGAAAATTGAAGTAGGTGGTGTAAGTGCTTAGCATAGTGCAGGTACAGAGAAGATTCTCATGGCCTCTCCAAAATAAGTTGTCTTTATTGTGTGGCGAAAAGTCTGCATAGACTAATTGAAAGGTTGGCAGTTCAAACTGGCATCCAACAGTGCCACGAAAGAAAGGCGTGGCCATATGCTTTTGTAAAGATTACAGTGAAGAAACCTTATGGAGCCAAGTTCTGTGGCACATGGGGTCCCGATGAGTTGGAGTCGACTGGAAAGCAGTGGGTTTTCTACTGCTAAATCTTTACTGTTGTTGTTATGTGCCATGGAGTCAGAACCGACTCATAGCGACCCCTCCTTGGGTTTCCGAGGCAGTATCACTACAGGAGTAGATTGCCCAATCTTCCTTCTAAAATCTTTACTAATTACCCCAAAATTTCCCAACTCCTGTATCTTAGGGTGAAGTCATTTGGATATATATACACACAGCAGAGCATACCAGTATGTTTGTAAAGAAATGCTCACTTAATAAAGACTTGATTCTTGTTATTTGAGGCAGTTAACTGACTGAGGGAAGAAATTCTGGCAGTTTAAGGGATGACTAAACCCACCAGCCACTCCTCGGAAGGAAGATGGGGCAATCTACTTCCGTAGTGATACTGCCTCGGAAACCCAAGGAGGGGTCGCCAATAGTCGGGTCCGACTCGATGGCACATAACAACAACAACATGTTTAGACATGCGATGAGTCTACAGCAATAGGTTTGTTTTTTTGGTATGTTTAGGAGTGGTCAAGACAGCAGAAAGATACAAGTAGGTAGATTTGCCATGTCCTGTCCGAAAGTTTTGGACTTTGTATTTCTTGGTCGTGGTGTTGCTGCTGATGTTGTTTTGTTTGATTTTTTTCAATGCTCCATTTCTCTCTGCACCCTCAGGTTTTATAGAAAGGGAAGCTATATAGGTGGCAGTTTAATATTATATTCTAGGAAAATGTGACATTTTACTTTAATAATCATTTACTCTTTTTCTACAGAACTAAAGTGAAAGAACAAAGCTAAAAGGGCATTTGGAGACATCTCTAAATATTTTTAACTGTGTATAAGTATCTAATGAGAAGTTGACCCCAACAAAACTAATTGAATAATTGAGGCAGGTTTGTGTGTGTCATCAAATTCTATCCAGAAGTTGAAGGATCTTCAATTGAATTTAAGGAGTGTGTGTATATTGAATAAGAAGATGACCTTTCAATTTAATTTCACTATAGAAGGCCATTTGGAAAATGAATTAACAACTTTTGGAGATGAAGATTTGACCTTGGATTCCTCAGAAGAGTCATCAGTCCCCGAAAGTCAAAAAGGAAAACAGGGAGACAGAAAATGTTCTACCGAACAATTGGATTTACCTCAGGATCACTTCTGGGGCCATAAGTCAGTGGGAAATGCAACTCCTTCTCAAGATGGAGACAGTCCACTCAATGTAACTAATAGTTCAAATAACTTGGGACCACACAAAGAACAGCCCTGCTTGAGAGTTGCCAAAGAGCATGCTATGCCTAAAGATTTAAAGAAACTGTTAGAAAATAAAGTTCTAGAAACTTTACCAGGTCTCCAGCATGTTAATGTATCAATAGTGAAAACCATCTTGTTGGAAAAGAACTTCCCTGGAGAAAATATAGTTTCAAAAAGCTTTTCTTCTCATTCTGATCTGATTACAGGTGTTTATGAAGGAGGCTTAAAAATCTGGGAATGTACCTTCGATCTCCTGGCTTATTTAACAAATGCCAAAGTGAACTTTTTTGGGAAAAAGGTGTTAGATCTTGGCTGTGGATCAGGGTTACTGGGTATAATTGCATTTCAGGGAGCGGCCAAAGAAATTCATTTTCAAGATTACAACAGTTTGGTGATCGATGAAGTAACCTTACCTAATGTAGTGGCTAATTCTTCTGTGGAAGAAGAAAATGATATAAATGAACCAGCTGTGAAAAAATGCAGAAAATCAAAATTAGCACAAGAACTAAGTAAATGTCGGTTCTTTTCTGGGGAGTGGTCTGAGTTTTGTGAACTTGTACTAAGTAGTGAAAAACCCTTTGAAAAGTATGATCTCATTCTCACCTCAGAAACCATTTACAATCCAGATTATTATAGCAGTTTGCACCAAACATTCCTTAGACTATTAGATAAAAATGGACAGGTGCTTTTGGCCAGCAAAGCACATTATTTTGGTGTAGGTGGAGGCGTTCATCTCTTTCAGAAGTTTGTAGAAGAAAGGAATGTATTTGAGACTAGAACATTGGAAATAATTGATGAAGGGCTGAAGAGAGTCCTAATTGAACTGACTTTTAAGCACCCCAGTTAATGTCCACTGAGTGTGCTCAGTGAAATAAACTGAGTGTGGTATAGTAAATTACTTAGTGTGGCTTTTCTACCCATAAGTCTTTGTAAACTCCAAGTGGGATTTTCTGTGGGCAACTGAGGAGTTCCTGATTGCTGAAGTCCACCTGGAGTACTTCTGTTGGGAGTGGCACAAAACAATGTTCTGGAAGGTTCCCACTCTCTCTCAAGTGCTTAGAGTTCTGATGCTATGATTGGCTAGTTTGACAACCCTGTCGGGCTCAAAAGGAGGCCTCCTAGTGACAGAACTCTCTCTGACTGCTGGTTGAGGAAGACATGCTGCTAAAAGAGACACGCGCTGCTGAAAGACACGTGCTGCTTGGAAAGAGATGCAAGAGACGCGTTGCTGAGTAAGACACTAAGGGACATGCACTGCTGGGGGAGAGACTGTGAGAGACTTGGCTGAGAGACGGTGGGCTGGGAGAGAGACTGAGCATTTTTTCCTGAACTTGAATTGTAGCCTGTAGTGCTTCCCTAATAAACCCCATAATCTGTGAGCTCTGTGTGGCCACTGTAGCGAATTATCGAACCCAGGAAAGAGGTGGTGGGTGCTTTGGGAGGAATGGTTGGTGAAAAGGCTGGAGGGAGGCAACATGCCTGGCCTTGCAGTAATAGGCCTTGGGTTACTGCTGGTAATCCTGTCTTCCTCTTGTGGGATTAGAGGAGGTCAGAACATGTGGCCTCCTTACCGTTTTTGCACTGAGCTAACCAAAAATTCTGTTTTGAGTGTTTAATTTCTGCTTTGCTATTATTTTTTCCTGAAATTAAGTTTGTTTAGTTTTGTTTATCCAAATAACAGACCAGCTGTATTGGCAAGCTTGTACTTGCTAGGTGAGACTGCAAAAAAGTGCCCCTGGGCATTTTAGTGAAATCGCCTAGGAAATGATTTTGTGGGGAATTTCTCTATATTCCTACCTTCATTCTATTTGGTCTTTCTACCACATTTAATATATGAAATTTTTCCCAGGAAAACATGACATTAAAAATTCATATATATGTTGTTTTACGTGAAAGTTTACATAGCAAATTAGGATCCCTTTAACAATTTTTTAATACAAATTGTTCTTTGTCATTTGGTTACACGGTTTACAATGTGTCAACATGGTCATTACTTCCATTCTATTCTGTTCCATTGACCCTTCTTGATTTCTCACCTTTGTTTTTAGATAAATGTTGACTCTTTGGGCTCATATATAGTTCATTGTTTGAGGAAGCACATTACTCGTGGTGATACTGTTTATTTTGTATGTTAATCTACTGTTAGGTTTTTATATGACCTGCAGAGATCGCTTCAGTTCCATGTACAAGGGATATCTTAGGGCAATAATCTTTGGGGTTCCTCTGGTCTCAGTAGAGTAGATCTGGCATTTTTAAGGAACTTGAGTTTTGTTCTACATTTTTCTTCCATTCTATCTGGGACTTTCTGTCATGTCTCTGGTCAGAACCTAGTTCAGGTCTCATGTTTGCATAGGTTATCATTGGTGTGGGCTCTTAGTCCTATGGATTGGTTTCTTCTTTGGTCCTTGATTTCCATCTTTCTCTTTTGCTCCATATGAGTAGAGACCAGTATTCTATCTTAGATGGCTGCTCACAAGCTTTTTAAGACCCCAGATGATACTCACCAAATTCGGTTGTAGAACATTTTCTTTTTGAACTATGTTATGCCACTTAACTAAGTTGTCCCAAGATTATGATCCTAAGATCCTTGAGCCAGTTAACCAATCCTGCAAGTTGTTTGGATATGTTTAGGAAGCTTCTGTAACTGCCATCTATGTGATTTGTTTTATATATGTATATATATGAGGCACACATAAACACATGCCTATAGATATACCTATGCATGCATGTTAATTTTCTCATGTAGCTTTCTATACACATGTATGCATCCACATCTACCCAGTTACCAGTTACCACTTTTTTTTTTTTTTTTTTTTTACTGTATTTACTGTTGCTGCAAAATTTTAGCTCTGGTGGTATAGTGCTTAAGGCATTTGGCTGCTAATCAAAAGGCTGGCAGTTCAAACCCACAAGCCACTCCTTGGAAGGAAGACTGGGCAATCTACTTCCGTAGTGATACCACCTCGGACACCCAAGGATCCGACTCCATGGCAGTGAGTTTGGTTTGGTAGGCAGTATAAACTCCCTCTACTCGTTGCCATTGAGTTGATTCCAACTCGTAGTGATTCTGTAGGACAGAATAGAACTGCCCCATAGGGTCTCCAAGGCTATGATCTTTACAGAAGCAGACTGCCACATCTTTCTCCTGCAGAGTGGCTGGTGAGTTCAAACCACCAACCTTTTGGTCAGCAGCTGAGTACTTAACCACTGCACCACCAGGGTTCCTTATAAACTCCTCATCAGTTGTTAAAATCATAGGAAAGAGAAGGGGAAAAAGTATTTTGTTGATTCTAGTGTGAATTTTTTTTTAACATTTTAACATCTCTGTAATTGTTGTCTTTTCCTCTCAATAACAGTTAATTGGCAACATTTTCTTTCTTGGAGGTACCTAAAATTGTTGGTACATCTTATATCCAGTAAGGAGCTCTGGTGGTGCTATGGTTAAAGCATTGGACTGCTAACCAAAAGGTCAGTGGTTCAAAACCACCCACTGCTCTATGGGAGAAAAACAAGGCAGTCTGCTTCTGTAAAGATTATAGCCTTGGAAACCCTGTGGGGTCCCTATGAGTCAGAATTGACTTGATGGCAGTCTGTGTGTTTTTTTGGTGGGTTTTTGTATTCAATGAAATGTTATATTTACTGGACATCTACATTAACCAGGCACTTTATGTGTAACATCTTGCTTCATATTTATAACCTTATAAGGTAAATAAATATCCCCTTAATAATAATCCTAGTAGCTAAGTTTTTAGCATTTACTGCATGCAGAGATGTGTGGCATCAGGATCAGAGTAAGAGTCATTAACAACCTGTGAAATGTAGATGGCACAACCTTACTTTGCTGAAAGTCAAGATGACTTGAAGTACTTACTCATGAAGGTACAAGACTACAGCTTTCAGTATGGATTACACCTAAACATAAGGGAAATAAAAACCTCACAACTGGATCAATAAGCAATATCATCATAAATGGAGAAAAGATTGACGTTGTCAAGGATTTCATTTTACTTGAATCCACAATCAACGTCCATGGAAATCACAGTCAAGAAATCAAATGACATATTGCATTGGGTAAATATGCTGCAAAGGACTTCTTTCAAGTGTTATAACAGCAAAGATGTCACTTTGAAGTCTTAAGTTGCAGGGCACCCAAGCCATGGTATTTTCAATAGCTTCATATGCATGTGAGAGTGGGACAGTGAATGAGGAAGACTGCAGAAGAATTGATACTTTTGAATTGTGGCATTGGCAAAGAATATTGAATATGGACTGCTAGAAGAATGAACAAATCTGTTTTGGAGGAAGTACAGCCAGAATGACCCTTAGAAGTGAGACTGGCCATACTTCATCTCTCATACTTTTGTCATGTTGTCAGAAGAGACCAGTCCCTGGAGAAGAATATCATGTTGGATAAAGTGGAGGGTCAGTGAAAAAGGGGAAAACTGTCAATGAGATGGATTGACAACAATGGCTGCTACTCTAGGCTCAAGCAGGCAATGATTGTGAGCATGGTGCAGGACTAGGCAGTGTTTCATTCTGTTGCACATAGCGTTGCTATGAGTTGGGATCAGTTCAATGGCACCTAACAACAACAACAGCATGTGCAGAGAAAAAACAGTTTACATGCACTAACATTTAAGTTTCACAACAACCATGCATTAGGTTTTAATTACTATCCCACTGTGGGTCAGTTAATTACTTAATGTGGCTCTTCTAGCCATAGTTCTCCATTTGGTGATGTTTTATAAATCCTGGCCTCTATGCCTGTGGTTATGGTCCCATTTTGGAGTTAGTTGTCTGTTATGTCTATGAGGCAGGATTAGGGTGGGATGTGTCTTGAGTCACCAACTTATTAGTGTGACTCAAGTCACCACCCTTAGTTTCTTTAGTATGGTCTGCATCCAATATATATGAATTCTCTGGCAAAGTTCTCTGTCTTATTCTGGATCCTGCATCTGGTTCATCATCATTTAACCTCTGAATCTTGGAACATGACATAGTAGCCTATTCATCTGACCTAATTGACTAACTTCTATAGCTCTTTGTCAGCAGCCTGTCATCTGACCTCCTGATTTGGGTTTGTGAGCCCCTGAAACCATGTGAGGACAATTCTCCACACTGACCTGACCCATGGATTTGGGATTTGCCAGCCTCCACAACCACATAAGCCATTTTTTGGTGCTTTATGAGTTCTATGAAGCATTGCAGCAAATTATGGAACTCTAAGATGGGAGAGAGAGTACTGAGGGGAGGAAGAGTGATTGATATTAGAGAAAATGGAGTGGTTGGAAAAAGTTGGAAGTTTGGGATATCTTTAACCTCCACCTCTTAGGGATCAGCCTTGTGCTGCTCCTTCTAAAAGACATTATTCATGCACTCATTCTATAAATAAGGAAATTGAGGCTCAGAAAGTTAAGTAACTTGCTCTCAAACACATCCCTCACTTTGAACCAGAATCTGAGCCAGATCTTTTTAAAGCTTTTGCTCTTTTTATTATGTAAGAACCAATGCCTGTTTTTCATCACAAATATTTCTTAGCATTCTTACTATTCTGAAATGAAATTTATAGTCCAAGAAACTTGTTTACACACATTATTAAAAGTTATATATGTATGTGTCTGTGTATATAATATATCCTTAACTATAATATGAGGACAATCAATGTCTATGGAAACAGCAGTCAAGAAATCAGATGACATACCGCAGTGGGCAAATACGCTGCAAAAAAACCTCTTTAAAGAAGTGACACAAGGGGGACTTTCAGTAAGATGGAGGAATAGGCAGACAAGCGACACAGACTCTCTTCAACAAAGAAAAAAAAAAACCAATTGACAGAGATGCAGAAGATAATCCTGGAGCCCTGAGCTTTGAAAGGAACTA